ATAGGGAGCAAATATATTGACAGGGCTGCCACTTTATTTGGGGACTCCAAAACTGAAATCACGGCAACCCTGTCAATGTATTTGCTCCCTATCTTTGCATGGAGAGTTTGTCTTGATGTAGAGATGCACTGAGAAAAAACTATGGCTTATAAACCTATTAGAGGTAAATATGGAACACCACTAATAGTAGTACCTCTACATATAATAATAGCACATATACCTTAGTTATGGTCTCTGTACCTTAATTAGGTACAGAGACCTTAGTATGGTTCACAGACCGAGAATCATTAGTTTATTTACGACTATTATAGGTGTTCCATATTTACCTCTAATAGGTTCATAAACCATAGTTTTTTCTCAGTGTGGACTCTCAGAACAGCGTGCACGGAAAAAACGGTTTTAGGATCGGGTACTGCGGCGCAGGGCCCGGCCCCAAACCCGGGTAGGTGAAATTGCTTCACCTAAACCTCGGAGGGTCGGGCCCAAGCTGAAGGTAGGGTCCAGCCCTACCTGCATATCGACGCCAAGCGTAAAAAATCCGTGCCCTCGCATGGATTCGAACTCGCATCGCAGAGATGGAAGACCAGCGCGGTACCACCATGCTACGAGGCCTCGATGAATGAGGCAGCGAATTTACGCCTCTTGAGTGCAATTCCCCCTCTCGGCACATCAATGACACCTGATCATACGGGCATCAGTCCTCAACTGGCGTTCAGCGAGGAATGACGGTATTCGCTACTCCTGCGCATGCGCGCGCATGCGCAGTAACTAAAACCTCAAAACCCAGTCGGTGGCAGCGTTCGCAACTAGCTCATGGAGGTATCGTGCCTATAATCTGTAGGGACGTGAGCTACCTCTCACTGCCCTACCTCTAGTTAGGGCCCCATCCTAAACTCGTTTTTTCCGTGTGGGATATCCCCTCCATTTTGGCCTCACTTTGAGAGCTTATTTTGAGCTTGGGAGATGATTTCAGAGAAAACCAGTGGCACCATCGTGTTTCTCGCGAACTTTTACAGAAGAATCAACAGTCAAATCGCAAATTCCTCACACATGCAACATCTCCATTCCAAGGAAAACTGTCCATAACTTTCTTCGGAAATACGTGTTTTCTAAGAGGAAATTTGGCAACATTCGAATGTTCATACGGCGTTTTTACTTAGCACGGCAGTATTCTGCTCCTTGTCCGGCTCCAAGTCCGGATGGCCCTCGGGATCAGGGATCCTCGACTGCTCGAGTTCCGAACCTGTTAGGATTAATCGCCGATGCCAGAATTGCTTCCCACGGTTCCAGGTGAGGTCAATGATTCTCCTGCAGTGGCGTGGCGTGAATTGCGATAGATCGATCGTTATGCCATATAAACCTATAGAAAAGGATCGATAAACAAGGTGTTCGCAGCGAACACCTTAATAATCGATTCTTTACCATAGCTTTAAATGGCAACAATCGATATATCGCAATTCACGCCACGCCACTGTTCTCCTGCCCCATTGACCTTGCTAACATATGCCATAGCGAAAAGCCCAAGTTGTATTTTTTAACAGAAAATTGCGATGTTTTGAAATTAAGTTGCGACTTATTTACAGATTTTTGGCGATAAAGTAGCCTAGATCTCACCAACATCTGAGCAAATGTTCTCAATTTTATCTCGATAAAATTGCGTACGATAAAATCGAAATTTTATTCCAATTTATCACGACTTTTCGTTCGTTACTTTTGCCATAAATCGAGGTCGATAAAATCGTCATACACTCTACGATGAAATCGCAACTTATCGCGATTTCTGTTACTTGGGAGGGTTGCTTACAGGCTTTGTCTTAAGGTGCGATTTTCGGGTCATTTCGTCGTTTCCCGATCGAAGGAACGTAACTCCATTCTAAGGTTTTGTTATTTAATTGTTGGGGGTTGCATAACTTCATTCCAAGGTTTTGATATTTAATAGTTGCGGGTTGCATTACTCCATTCCAAGGTTTTGTTATTTAATTATTGCGGGTTGCATATGGAGCCCCTGAAAACTCGTTAAAATTTCGTGCAACACGAAATTTCTCCTCGCAGAAAAATTAAATTTCGTGAAATTCCGTGTGAAATTTCACTCAAACTCTGTCGTGGGGTTGCCTACTCATTATTATGAAGGCGATTAGTGAGCGTGCACCCAAGGCAGGGGCAGCCTTTTTCGCTATTTTGAAGTTCTCCCGGGTGTCCCGTCATTCTTGTCATACCTATTTCACCGCCTTTCTCTCGGCAGTCATTTTAATAAAGTTTCGTATTTTCTTTTTCTGATTCGCAGGCGCCATGTCAAGTGGAATTGGAGAACTGGGTGAACAGCATTCACTGCGCATGCGCCGCGGCTTTCGCCCGACACCGGGGCAAAACTGGAACGCTCCACCTCCTCCAAGAGGAAATCTATCGCCTGGAGAAAGCCATTGAAACGGTAAGCTAAAACCCTCCGTCAATTTTTAAAAGCCCTTTCACCCGGAAATCCAGATGTGCACCCCTTGTTCAGCCATTTTACCGAAAATCCAAATGTTCATCCTAATTCTCAAAGCTTCCGCACGCATCGATAAAAGTCTGATTCAGTCTGACTGGTCCGGCAATCCGGTTGAACAACTAAGGAATAGCTTTAGACTTAGACACTTTTAAGACATTTGTTAAGTTAGAACCGTTCGTCCAAGCATGGAACAGTGAAGAAAATACGCCGTCAAATCTTAAACTTATTCGTCCCATTGAATCAAGTCTCCGAATTTTGCCGCTTTTGTGTCCCAGACTATTTCATTGTAAATATTTCTATCTGTCGTCTTTCTTTTATCCCCAACAACCTTCGAAAAATCAGGAAATCGTGCGTTTGAAATTCGTGGACAAATTCGACAATGTTGAAATCCAACAAAACTCCTGCAGCTTTATAATGTGTGTTATGTGCTACATGAGGTTTTGCAGAAAAAGATAAATAATGCAATTCCCCTCTTTTTGCCCCTCAATTAATTTAATCAAAATCGTGATTTTTAAGAAAAAACGATGTTATGGTCTTTCAGCAAATGTATTGGTGCCAAATCCTGAATTTTTAGCTCTAGATTGGCGAAGCTCAATTGGACTACATTTTGCAATTTGGACCCATAGATTCTAGCCCGGTTTAAAAGCAACGTATGTGCCATTAGTTTCCCTATGCACGCAAGTGTTTTTCCAGAAGAGCCAGAATTTATAGTTCTAAATTGCAAAATGCGGTCCAATTGAAGGAGAAGATAAAAACCCCCTTCCCTTCACAATGACTGGATAATTAGGAAAATTGGATGTTAAAAAATATTGCCGAAATGCAATTTAATTTCGGTTATTCGGTCAAAAGCTCGCCGCCTCTCTGCTCGTTCTGTGTATTCCCACCGCGAAGTACCTCGATTGTAGCGCCTGCAAGGATACATCTAATCCTGCCTAGCGACATTGAGTGTTGCATACGTTAAAAAATGAAGGCGTCTTTCTTGGCTTTCCCAAGCCAATTTTCGAGCTCCATTCAAGGAGCTTTCATGCGCCTTTGCGCGCAGTGATCATGTTGTCCAACTCACATTCACATTGCTGAAATGCAAGCAAAGTTTGGAAAAGCTTGATTTTAACCGGCAATACTGTCTTTAAAAGATTATTATCCCGCACGAAGTGCTCACACGGGAAGAGTCGTTACGTATGAAACAACCCTTACCGAGCCTATCGGGGAAATGAGCAATGAGCTTAACAATTTAACCAGGTGAAGATACGCGAGATCGAGGAGCCTATGAGCGTTTGTATGGTTTTACAGTATGTTTATGTCTGTCTCAATTACGAGCTCATGCTGAACTGCCACGCCGCACAAGGGATCGAGTCAACAGGAGAGGCCGGACAAAATTTGAAACTTTAAACGCTTATAACTCCACCTATACAAAACTTTGAGGTTCTAAAAGTGGTCCCATTGGTTTCCTCTTGAAATTTTCTTCTAGGAGCACCTCTTAAAATTCAAAATGTGACAAAATAAACATCAAAATGGAGATGTTGCATGCGGAAGGAATTTGGGATTTGACTATTGATTCTTTTGTAAAAGTTCGCGAGAAACACGATGGTGCCACTGGTTTTCTCAGAAATCATCTCCCAAGCTCAAAAAAGCTCTCAAGTTGAGGCCAAAATGGAGGGGATATCCCACGCTATCCTGAGACTTCACCTCTACATCAAGACAAACTCTTCATGCAAAGATAGGGATCAAATACATTGACAGGGCTGCCACTTTATTTGGGGACTCTAAAACTGAAAACACGGCAACCCTGCTAATGTATTTGCTCCCTATCTTTGCACGGAGAGTTTGTCTTGATGTAGAGGTGGACTCTCAGGAAATCGTGGAATATCCCCTCCATTTTGGCCTCAACTTGAGAGCTTTTTTTAAGCTTGGGAGTTAATTTCAGAGGAAACCAGTGGCACCATCGTGTTTCTCGCGAACTTTTACCTAAGAATCAAAAGTGAAATCGCAAATTCATCACACATGCAACATCTCCATTTGTAGTTTAAGTGAAAAATTATTTGTCCAACCTCTCTGATTGACTCGATCCTCTGTGCGCCGATAGAGAGCGCCGTAGCATTCCAATGTCACCTAATTCACCCCGATAAAGCACTTATCCGAGAAGGGTTATGGATACGGTCGATCTAATTGGCAGTAAAAGTCTCTGAACGGTTCAAAGGGAAATATTCTCAGTTTACACCGGAAGAAATTTATCAGCGTCCATGGATGTTCGCACGACGCTTTTTCGCGTGAAGGCAGTGACGCGATAAATTTCGGAACGATTTGACACCGTCGCATCCACCACGCCTGCAATAGAAGTGCGATAATGAAATCGTCAAAAAGGCTCATCTGCAATGTTCTATCAACCTGTTCAAGTCGGCCCATTAGCCTAATTAGTTTTCACCCCTTCGGATCGCGGCTGGGTTGCCTCTCTCGAGTGGTATTCTTGGTTATTGCGACTCAAAAAAAGGGTTGTCGGACCGTAAGTGACTTTCATTCGCTGTGCCTACTGCCCTAGTAAGTGTCGCAGGCCTCTTTTATATATTTTATCTATAATATATTTTTATAGGTATGTTGGTTACTTAATTAATTATACGACGATCAGAAATTAGGCTATTTACGTCGGAGACCAGGAATAGAACCTTAACTTTTGAGATTTACTTGTTTAAATAGCTTTAAAATTTCGGTAGTTACTTTTGGATCATCAGAGCTTAGAGAATGGGTGTTCGGAGGGAGGTGTTTTTGAATTTTGATGCGTGTAGCTTGTACTTAGCATAGGTTTTGAGGCAAGATAACAAGGGGAAATGTTGACATTAAGAGCAGGATGGAACTGGAGATTTCGAAATTAAATGGACTCCATTTTGCAATTTGGAACTATAAATTCTGGCCCGGTTTAAAAACAACGTATGTGCCATTAGTTTCCCTATGCTTTTAAGTGTTTTTTCAGATGAGCCAGAATTCATAGTTCCAAATTGCAAAATGCAATTCAAATGAGAATGAGAGGGAAATGTACGGCTGATCTTACTCGTCTTGTTTGTCCTACGTATTCCTGTTCTTCTGCTGCAAAGCACCGCGATTGTAGCGCCTGCAAGGATACATCTATTACTGCTCAAGTACAGTGCGTGTTGCATACGTAAAACTTGAAGGCGTCTTGGTTTTCCCAATCAGTTTTTCTAAGTATCGCTACCACTCCCTATTCGTCCGCCAAAGTTGGCAACCATACCGCGCTACCGACAGCGCGCGCGTAACTTTGAATGTGAACATCGCGAGTCTAGGCTGAATGGGGAGCTTTTTTGGCGCGGAAACGCAATTGTTGGAAGATGTCGAGCATCGTTTCGCGGATTCGCGAGGCTTTTCGTTTGGTTTGTTCGGCTCCCGCGAGGCGCGCTCCTTTTCATCCCGCTCGGGTTTTGTCTCGCTGACGTCACCACCGTTGTCGCTTTTCGCAGCTAATGCGCCCTTTCTGAGGGGAAACCAGCCGTGCTAAGGAAAAACGCCGTATAAACATTCGAGAGTTGCCAAATTTCTTTCGATAAAATGTTTATTTTAGAGGAAAATTATGCATATTTTTCCTTGAAATTTTCAGACTTTTTAGATTAAATTATAAAACAAAATTATCAGAGAAATTGGCAGAAAAATATTTAAAACATTTCCTGAAATTTAGTCATTTGCCAGAGGAAATTTGGCAATGACTGAAGGCTCATACGGCGTTTTTCCTTAGCACGGCAGAAACTCGGAGGGTTCCTTCAAAGCTGACGACGGGGGCGGAACAGCAGTGCACCAGGTGCCACCGTTCTTCTAATTGGACGTATTTCTATCAAACGGAACTAGGTGCATTAAGACATGAGTCCTGAGACCCATAAGCATATGTTCGTAACAGGGCTCACGGCATAATGCACATAGTTCCGTTTGATAGAGATACGTCCAATTAGCAAACCGCTCCTGTGTTCGGGCTGGATTTACGCCCTTGGGAGGATCTATTCAAAATGTGATTTTTGAGATACTTACTTTGCAGGTCTCTATTTCTTCCGACTCACAGTGGATCGAGTCAATGAGAGAGTTCGGGCATGAAATTTTTGACTGGAACTGCAAATTTTGATGTTTATTTCGTCACATTTTAAATTTCAGGGGGTGCTTTAGGAGAAAATGTTACGAGGAAACCGATGAAGCCACTTTTAGAACCTCCAAGTTTTGTATAAACGGAGTTATAAGCGTTTAAAGTTTCCAAATCTTCTTCGACCTCTTCTATTGACTCGATCAACTGTGCGTGCTAAGGGGAAACGCCGTATGAGCATTCGAATGTCGCCCAATTTCCTCTCAAAGAATATTTATTTTTGAAGAAAGTCATCCGTATTTCTTTATCAATTTTCTTTAAATATTTTAGATCAAATTACGAGCAAAATTCTCTGAAAAATCGAGAGAAAACTGATTCAAAAATTTCCCTGAAAATTCGTGATTTTTCAAAGGTTTAGCAACTTCTGGAGGTTTATGCGGCGTCCTTCTTAGCACGGCAGACTTGATGTGCAGGGTATACCATTTTTAAACCACCAGACTGGAGCCCGTTCTGTGGGTCAAAAGAAGATTTTTCCCTCTTTAAAGTTCAAATGCTCGTGGTTGTCCCCCCCCCCTCAAGTTTTGGGAAAAGCGTCGTTTCCTCTGAATTTTGGCAATAGTTATGGACTTAAAATTCTATTTTTAGCGTAACGGTCATGCATGACATCAAAAATTTCGAAATCCCAGGTCGAAGGGGGGTTTCAGGGGGTTATTTCAGGGCAAAAAACTTGGCCTCCCATGCAGTCGCCGGGATCCCCCTTTCATCCTTTCGTCTCGCAGGTAATTCTCTAAGTGGCGCTTTGGTCCTGCAAAAAAGCTCACCCTATAATTGAATGCTCCTAGAGGAATGGATCCTTTTCAACGCTCCTTCAGTTAAAATTTGATCAATGTCATGTTTTCTTATGTACTGCCCTGGTAAAAATTGGCGATAAGAGCTGCGTTTCAAAATACCATAGGAATTCTTATAGCCGGCTAAAGAAGGCTACAGAAAATCATATAGCTGGCTGTAGAATGCGGAGAAAATCATACGACCGGGCTATACGAAGCGATAAAAAATTATGCAGCCGGGCTATAGTTCCTATAGCCGGGCTTTACACTTTATCGCCTGGCTGTTGCTTTTTGGCTTTCAATTATGAAAGGCTATAAGAAATTGTGTAGAAATTCGTGTGCTTTGGAAATCATTAAGTTTGATACGAAACCACCTTAATATTTACAAAACATACGTTATATTTTCCTTTAGTATATTCCACATTTTTTTCATCAATTAAAACGAGAATAATCCATACAGGATGTGCAAACATTTCAAAATCATGAGTTGAATAACGCTGACTCCGCCAGATTAAATATTAGAGCCTAACACAAAGCGGAGCGGCGACGCACTGGCGCCTACAAACCTAACAGGGATACTTCACGCATTGCGCAACGCGTGAAGTATCCCTGTTAGGTTTGTGGGCGCCAATGCGCGTTCCGTGCTGGCTGCCCGCCTGCCGCACCGCAGTTAGGAATGGCAGGCATCCATCAAAAGTACGGAGCTTTCCTTGCAAAATAAATCAAGATACTACGGCCCAAAAAGAGAGCGGTGATCCAAAAACTCACTAAGTCCCAGCATCCGTAATTAGTGACGTTTAGCATACACTTTATCGCCTGGCTGTGAGTTGCTTAATCGCCATCGGCTATAAAAGGCTATAAGAAATTGTGTAGCCGGCTATAGAAGCTATTGGAAATCTTACAGCCGGCCGTAGGTCTATGGTATTTTGGAACACAGATTCTACTGCCAAGTTTTACCAGGGTGATAATGTAAACGTTCACTTTAAGTTATTTTTTCCTAACACCATCGCGAGTATTGGGAAAGAAGTCGCAACTTTGTCGCAATATTTTCTCACGATATTCTTTGATATCAACATAATATACCAAGTTATTTTTTCAATGTATATTTCTCCTTTCATTTCAGCAAATGTACCAAGACTCAAAATTGCGCTCAATGGCCGAGCTTCAAGTGAGTGTGGTCGCGGACTCGGAGACAAAAGCTCAAATGAATGCTCAAATCCAACAGTGGGAGGAAAATCTCGAGAGGATGCATTGCGAACAGTTCAGGTTAAGGTGCTACATGGCTAGTCTTCAGAACGGCGAACTCCCCAATCCCAAGGTAAAATTATCTTTGGTTTTCTTCCGTTTGTCCATCAGAATTTTGCTCCCTCATTCATCAGTATAATAGAAGTGGCAAGTGTGGCACAAATGCTTGTCCCTAAGGTCTTGTCTCCACGAGCCGTTTCACGTGATTTGTCCCAGGGAAAAATCCCACTTACGAAGTTGGGAAAAATATTGAGTTAATCAATATTTTTCCCAGTGCCAAGGATGGTACTTGTACCCCTATAGGACCCAATGAGAGAAGAAGAAGAAGTGGAAACAAATTGTGCGATATTTTATTCATTAATTACTACATTGTTCATGTTTGTATAGTTAAAATAATGTGTCTATTTGTCAATTGAGTGCAATTATTATTTTAATCCCGGTTAAATACTCGACTTTAACTAATTTATCTTCCCGCGCAAACTAGTCGCAGGACTGTACATGAGCTCCGTCCCGTGGAAACGGTAACTGGGAGAAATCCCAGAAGTTTCATTCCTGCGATTCGAACTTGGGACAAATCCCATGAAAACGTCCCGTGGAGACAAGGCCTTAAGATTTGAAAATTTGTTCACGGACACAACTTTTTGCGTAATATTACGTCATTAACACAGCCCCCCCTCCCAAAAGTTTTTACCCTCCCCCCCNCCCCCCCCCCCTGCCGTGGTTGCAACCATAACGAGTCGCACTCATATTGCAAATCATCAAAGTTACAGGCAAAGCGTAAATTCGTGACGTTAAGTATCTGAAAATGTTTTCTACGACCACAAATTTTTGCATAATTTCACGTGATAAGCACAGTTTTCCCGAACATTTATTTACAAACCCTTTTTCCGTAGCAACATTGCCGCATTCGCATCTGTAATGCGTCGCGCTCGTTGCGAATCGCGTTTTTCGCAGATCGAAGTTACAGGCGAAGAACAATGGACCGCGCTGAGCAGAAAGGAACCAAGCCACATCAGCTATTGCCAAATTTAACTTGGAAATTTAATTTTTCACAAGAGGAGGTTTGTGCGGATTCCTTCGAAAATGTTAAGGAATTGGCTTCGTACTATGCAGGGAATTCACTGAAATTCGCACAAAAATCCACACAACCGTTTCCATGTAAATAATTAAATTTCCCAACTAAATTTGGCAATAGGTGATGTGCCTTGGTTCTTTTCTGCTTAATCTGGTCCAAATGTGTGCCGAAGATTAAAAATCTCCGGTGCAGTCCAGCATGAGCAATTTTTTGATAAATAAGGTCTACACGCATCAAGTAACTCGCATCCGTAGATACGCTTACTTTTCTACATCGCGTTAAAGTCTCTGAGGTGATTCCCACATTTCGTCGCTCCTCTGACGCAAGGGCGTATCTCGATTTCCGCATGAGCCCCAGAAAGCGTAGATTTGAATGTGATTCAGGGTTCACGTGGAAATTGAGGTACGCCCTTACGGCCGAGGAGCGACAATTTTGGCGATCTCTTGTGTGGTTCTACATGATCAAATTGTTAAGTCTCGAGGGCGATGAAGTTATCAGATTTTGTTGCATGGCGCTTCAGGAGCGAAATTTGCAGATTTTTCCGCTGTCAGATCTCGAGGTTGCGATGAATTACACCGTCATTATTGGTGTCAACAGAGTTCGTAATATTTCCAATCATTCATTTAAAAGAAAAGCGGGAAAAACTCACGTGAAAATCAGCTTTTAAAAATAATTCATTCTTTAAAAGGAAAACGAAGTAATTAGTTTTGGCTTGAAATTTCTACAGGTTTACTAAAAAATCGTAAAGGAACATTTGAGATTATTTAAAGTCTTGATGTTGATTCGTTTTCTTTATGAAACAATGAAGTATTCACTGAAATTTTTAAAAATAGTGGAAATACGAGATCTTAACGTTTAAGAAGCTTCCATTTTGAAGAATGGACAAGAAATCAGACGACACTCTTTCTCATTGTTTTCTATTTCTTGTAAGTGTCGCATGTGGAATTACTTGTGCCTCTCTACCATGATATTGACCTTATCAGTAGATGTAACTAAAGAGAAATCTCTCGACCGTCTCGCAAAATTTAAATTTTTCTTAATTTATAAGGAACCTGATTTAATACCAAAGTACCTTAGCAAGTATCAAATGTCACCATTTCAAACGAATAGTTTAAGAATGCATCATTCAGTATGTTCTCTCCAGTGGCGTGGCGTGCTTTGCGATACATCGATTGATCTGTCATTTAAACCTATGAAAAAGAATCGATAATCAGGGTGTTCGCAGCGAACACCTTAATAATCGATTCTGAATTGTAGGTTTAAATGGCAGAACAATCGATACATCGCAATTCACGCCACGCCACTGGTTCTCTCTTGCACGCAGAAATATATAACGATATCAGACTTACGTCTTTCTTAATTATTGAAAATTATTCATTTTGCAAAAGCATGTTTTTGAATGAAGCTTTTTCACATTTTCAGAGTTTACTGACACATGTATCCAGAGCAACGAAAAGCACACTCAATCGACTCGGGGTTTTCACTGTATCGTCCTTCCACGCATTTATTTGTGCTCGATCACCATCTCTATTGAACAATTTGCTTGCTGGTCGAGGTGCTACTAAAAGACGGCCACCAATGCTATCGCGGTCCAATAGCGGGTCCAGTCGGCGCTCATTCCAATCGTCACGCGATGAGCCTGACAAGACTGTTAAAGTGTCTTTGCCCAATGATCAGGTAAATGAAAACTTGTCGTTAAACCTCAGTAATCTAGAAAATTCGGAACGATGAGAAAAAGCAATTTGCGCAAAAGCTCAGAATGATTCAACTAAAGCTCTTCTCCCCTTTATATTCTCTCATGCTGAAAATGCACTAACAATGCAATAATGGATAATTTTTTTATTTTTTTTGTGTGAAAAATTGATGTATTAATAATTTTTAGCAAAACTCATCTGAAGGTGGAAAGAGGTCCCCGGGGTTTCCCTAAAAGTCGAACAGGGGGCTCATTTTTCTCTCTCGAATATTTGAGTTTTAAATTCATTTGCATCCAAAGTCTCCATCTAATGTTTCAACTAGGTATATCTGTGTTTTTCTCGACATTACAACAGTGGCATTTCATTCCTTTTATCCCATAATCCCCCTCAGTTATTAAGTTACAGGTCAAAGGATAAAGATAGTGATCTTTGCACCCTCTTTATTGAGAGAGACAATCAAAAGTTAGTTAGAATGCCGAAACTTCAAGGTTGTTACACTGTCTACTATTCTGCTCCTTGTTTGACTACTTGTCTAATGTCTACTTGTTAAACTGTCGAGGTGATATTAAAAAATGTAGATATCCTCTAGAAATTCTCTGAAAACAAATCCCCAAAAAAAAAAATGTTTTCAAATACCATATGTTTTCTACCCTCAGTTCCAACTTTGATGCATAAAATACCTAGAATACCAATAAACCGAATTTGTCATAACTCAGTTATACCACTTGTGCCTAATGCATCTCTGTCTTTTCAGAGTGTTATCGTGTATTTGCGTGAAGGGATGACAGTAGAAGAATTTTTAGCAAGTGCTTGTAGCAGGAAAAATTTGAATCCAATGGAACACTTTGTCCGAGTCAAAAAGCGTCGAGAGATGGAAGATCATAATTACTTTGTGCCTCACAGAACAGACCATATAGAAACCTATGTAAGTATCCTCAGAATTTTATCAGGAGAATTCACGTTTGCCACCAAATATTATTTTTCCCCTTTTCTGTATTTAAGAACTATTCTTGCGGTTGTGCTATTTGATCATTTTAAGAGAAGTTATAACAATCTGAAGCGCCAAGACCAAAGTTGTTTTCACCAGGGACAAAGAGGTTTTGCGAAATCTTATATTTATTATTTAATTTATTTCCTCTTGTTGAGTATTTTTTGTTGTAAACGTGGTGACTAAAAACTGTCAGTCAAAATTTGAATCTGTCGCAGAGTTAAATCATTCTTCAGATTTGGTGCAATATCACACTTGATCTCTACAGTGCTGCAACTTTGTGAGATTCACTTGCGATCAAGTTTTCAAAATCATCAAATCAATTTTTTGATTATTTTCTTATTTCTTCCATTCTTCTTTATTTTTAGAATTCTTACATCAATGAATTTAACTTGTGTTTAAAAAATGTGTCTGATTTACATTCCTATGATGGAATTTCATGCAAATAATTTTTTGTCCTCTCCATTTTCCAGCTAAACACTCATGAGATTGTTGAAGTTTGCGCAAAGATACTTTACCAGGTAGAATTGCAACGCACATCCCTAGGTCATATGTGGGGCTTCTCGGTTGAGGCTGAGTTGATAGAGAATGCAGACAGACAAGATGAACTTTGTTGTTACGTCAGTCGGGTTGAAGACAAGAGTGTTGCGATGCACAACGGTAAATAACCAGTTTCTATACTGCATGTTTTCCTACTAGAAAGATTCTAAACTCAAAAAATGTTAATACCGGTAAATTTTTAGTAAGCTTTTTGATAGAGGTACGAAAAATTCCATGATATTTATTCACAAATCATGAGGAAACTTTAATAAAGTCTTAGGTATTATCATTATGATTTGTGGGCGATTGCCCTTTGCTACCTCTCCCTTTGAACATTTGACCCTTTCCTAGCAATATTGGTCAATTGCCTAAAATATTATGGTATTTTAAGTGAATTCAAGCCTTGCCTTTCTCAGATTCACCTGAAATGATGTCACTGTTTATTATTGCCACTTACTCTGAAGACTTTTAGGTTGATTTTTAAGCTGGCAAATTCACTATCAATTCCTTGATCCTTCAAAATTGTTTCTCTTATATTTTCCTCAAAAATATTCCCATTAGAGTAATTTAAAAAGTAACTCAAAATGATTTCACTAATGATGCGGTAAATAGAAAACTGAAGTTACTCAAGTACTCAGCAAAGTTTATGTAAATTCAGGAAGCTCAAATCCTTTAACTATTTTGTATATTTGTTTTTTTGAAGGTTTAATCAAAGGGGATGAAATTATGGTAATTAATGGTGCAATAGTGAGCGATTTAGACATGATGTACCTCGAATCTGTGCTGCAAGAAGAGCTCTCCTTGTGCATGATGATGCGGTCATCAAGGACAGCTGCACCGGAAGTGACAGCGTCGCAGATGAGAAACATAGCAATGCACACGGATGACATGATTCAGTCATTAGTCTGCCCCCCACCCCCGTCAGAGCCTCCCATCATCAGCGAGGAGATGATTTCTGGTCTAATTGTCCCTGCACCAGGTAAACTTTTTATGAATTTCCATTTTTGTACATACCCCTCGAGACATTCTTAACTACCAAAGCAGCATTTTTTAACGGAAAAATCGCGATAAATTGCGATTTTATCGGCGATAAAACCGCTAGGATCATCAACATCCGATCGATTATCCTCAATCTTGCTGCAATAAAATCGCGATTTTATGGCCCTGCAATTGATCGCGATATATGACGATTTAATCTCAATTGGACTCGACGGAAATTGATTGCGAATTTATTGAACAAAAATTGCGATGCATAGCGATTTAATCTCCGTAAATCGCAATATTTTGTTCGATAATTTTGCGATGAATTGCCACCGATATAATCGCGATAATCAACTGATAATATTGCTATTTATCGCGATCACTGCTACTTGGGTACGTATTTGTTTGTCTCTATTTAATTTGTCAGCTGAAACAACAAGTGTCAGTTTTGGACCTCTGTAAATTTCAGTTAATGAAAAATTCGTTTATTCGCTCAAATACCTAGTGATTCAAAAACTCCTTTGGCCAGGGAGTCTTTTTCTGCCAATGCAAGAAGCCATGGACTACATACAATACAAACAAAAATAAAAAATTGAAAAACCTTGGTGAGCTGAGCTTGAAGATTCCGTCACTTTCTAAAATGAATAAATCTACAATGAATTCCAATATTTTCTCAAACTTTTCCTTTTTTTCAAGCTTCTTATATTAAAATGTTAGAAAAAAATTCTCGCAAACAAGGGCGTGCATGCCTTTTACTTTTTTTCTCAATTTTTTTTTTACAGAAAAAAGAGTTTCCTGCGAGTTTTTCTTTTGATCAATAATTTTATCATAACAAATGCATTTGTTTTTCTCTCTTTCAGGTCAAGAATTGCACTCGCCAGAAAAAGAATATGGGCCAGGGATAATCTCAGACAGCAATGCCAAGCAAACTTCAAGGGCCAATTCACTGGAAATAGAAAACTTGATCAAAAGTGCTGGTGAAGTTACAGGGTTTTGCCGTTCACCTGTGGAGACTCCACGAAGAGCAAGCCCAACGGGTAGCGTTGTGTCAAATACCATCTTAACACCAAGTCGGCAGCTAACAGATGCTGAGAAATTAAGAAAAGTAATAGTAGAACTGATAGAAACGGAGAGGACTTATGTGAAGCATTTAAATATTTTATTAGAAAATTACTTGGAGCCTCTGAAGAAAGAAACTTTCTTGTCCAGCGCAGAAATCAACACTTTGTTTGGAAATATTCAAGAAATCGTCGCGTTCCAGCGACAGTTCCTACAAAATTTGGATGAAGCATTAGAAGTTGAGCCAGATTTTGAGCTCTTCCAACAGCCTAGTCAATTCAAAAATGTTTTATTTTCTATAGGTAGTGCATTTCTATATTATGTCAATCATTTCAAGCTATACTCCTCATTTTGCGCATCCCACTCAAAAGCTCAAAAAGTCCTCCACCCGAACCAAGGGAACCAAGCACTGCAAGAGTTCCTCGCGGCACGCAACCCCAAACAGCAGCACTCATCCACTCTGGAATCATATTTAATCAAACCCATTCAGAGGATACTCAAATACCCATTACTTCTGCAGCAGTTGCGGAACCTAACTGACCCTCAGACGGATGAACATTTGCATCTTGTTGAAGCGCTCAAAGGCATGGAGAAAGTGGCCGAGCACATCAATGAAATGCAACGAATTCATGAAGAATATGGTGCTATTTTCGATCATCTGTTCAGGCAACACCAAAAGTCCTGCAAACAGGTGATTGATCTGAGTCCCGGCGACCTTCTCTATTACGGTGGAGTTGAGTGGCTCAATATCTCAGACTTTTTAGGTAAAATCAAGAAAGGCTTAGAGCTGCACGCAATGTGTTTTGTATTCAAGTCGGCTGTCGTCTTCTTATGCAAAGAACGGTTGAGACAGAAAAAGAAACTAATGGGTGTTGCAAGCAAAAGTAATTCCAATGAGGTGGAAATAATCCGTTACCAAGTCCTGATTCCTGTCACCGAAGTTCAAGTACGAGCAAGTTCAGCAAAGGATGTCGATTCGCATTTCCTTTGGGAGTTGATTCATCTTCGTAGCCAGCTCCAGCGCCGCTCAGAGAAGATTTATGTCCTCTCAAACAGCACAGCTGACTTTCGTAATGCATTCCTCAAGACAATCCGGCAAATCATTCGGGAAAGTGTGCGGAATATGAGTATACCCTCAACAAAGCCTGGCTCGTGCACATCCCTCGTCAGCAACACAGCCACTCTCGGCAGGAATATTGCTGTCAGCGCTGGTGAGTAAACTTTTCATAATTGAACTTTTAAGCTTTAAGTTCAAAGTCGTCCAGCTCAATTCAAAATTCATAAAAAAATAGCCTTTTACGCTTCATATGTGAGTATGACGATCACAGTTAAAAATGGCATTAATCGTAAGGTCTGATGTTACTCTTTCTTACAATCTACTCTTAATTTTAAGGGTAAGTATATGAGATACATCACAGAAAATTATCCTTAAGAAATGAAGAAGCAAAATTTTTCAGCATTTATTTTTCGCTACCAAGATATTCCCACTTTATGAATTACATGAGACACTAATTTTTTTTTTGAAAAATGAAGCTGGTAGTTGGAACTATACGAGCTGTACTTTATATAGAACTGTAAGTATTTGATTATTAATATTAATGATTATGTAACAATATCACTGTATCTTGCATCAATTAGGTAAGTATTAGTCATTTACATCAAGTTGAGTAATGACACCAAAAATATACAAACAGGTGCTAGTTATTTTACTGTCCAAATCGTCGTCTTACAACATTGCAGTAATCGGTATTTATATTTAGACCCTAATGTAAACCAAATGATTCTAAAAAATGGTTAAGTATCCTCAACTGTGAAAGTGAAGAGTGACAGCTTTGTTTTTTGTAATTTTTGCAGTGGACATATGACTCGAGCCTAAATCCGTTGCAAAAAATTATGGTATGAGGCAAACCTTTTCACATAAAGCATTTTCTAATGTTCTACTGGAACTTTGCTTACCTCATTTAGGTCAAGGGTTTTTCAATAAGTATGCTAGCCTTCTTCCCTCCTACAATTCTAGAATATGAAAACATTTTATCGATTTTCATCTTAAAAGTCAACTGTTAAACTTAATACTGGTGGAAGTTGACACCGTACAGAAATTGAACAAAGCAATGGATCTCTATAGTACAAAATTAAGCACCCTTACAGATGTGTCCTGATTGAAAATTTAAATAAAATACGGTGGGCGCTCTAAATCATTTAAAATTCAGTTAATAAGTTATGAATTAGTGTTTTTTCCATGTGTAAATTAACACTTCTTGCTCACAATGAACCACTCGAGTCAAAAGGAGTACCTATGAAACCAATTTTGGTAAACTTTTCGATAGACAAATTTCGCTGGGTAGTGATTTTTTTTTGACAAGATTAGTATTGCATTGTATCAGAAGAAGAAAATGTGCCTGAAACTATGCTTTAGTGGTTTGCTTAACATTTAGGTTGTTTCTGAAGTGACGGATTCGATTACCTATGGTTTTTTGACGTGCTGGAAGTTTGAATTTAATAATGTTTATTACGAAGGTTAATTTTTTACTGATGATTTAATTTTAGAAGTTTCCGACACATCCAACGAATTCTGTGTGAAATTATGATTAGGACACATGCCTTTTAGACGAACAATTCTCACCCTATCCTCTGGTTTATAATAGCCACAAACAGACTCTGATTCTGCACCAATAACTGAAATTTATCAATCAGGCTACATTTTTTTTGAGGTGGTGTTGTTTTCGTGAAATTTATGAGGGGGCAAAACATGCCTATTGAATGACCCTTCTACTGACCTAACGGTCAATGGATGTCCATAGTCAAGGTCCCTCTCTTTGGCTGTTTCCCATACCATTTGTGATATCCCATGGCTTTAAGTACCCTCTATCTCAAAAAAAAAAAATAAAAGAAAAAAAGGAAAGATTACGTATTACTATGTTACGTGAAGATGAAAAAGCTCAATATAACCAAAATTCAAATCCATAGTCTTTTCTCAAAAGACTCTGTGGGTGATATCAGATACTTTTAGTGGTGGGATACTGATCACATTCCTGCACCATGCTCCTTTACTTTCTTACAAATAGTACTGTATATCGCACATCCCATCCTTTCAGTAGATGCATCATAGGGTTGGCTCCATTACAAATTTTTTTCTTGTCCATAAGGAGTTTATTGATTGATACCATCGGCACTTTTATCATTTAAAAGTTGAGACCCATCTTTGTTTGATTATCAGCAACAGAATATTTAATTAAAAAAATTAAAAAACTGAGTATCATAACTGTGAAACAGTCTGTAAAAAGTATTACGCATTACGTACTTTTAAGCACACACAATTTTGTGTTTACCCCTATTTATTCTCTGTCTTTATTTTTCTGAAATTTTTACTAAAGTTTTCCCCAAAAAAACTGCATGATTCCAGAACCTAAGCTCAAAATGAAAAACGTAGAAGAAGTTTTCACCCAAACCTGTATACATAACAGAATTTTTAATGTCCATAGGACTCTCAGTCTAAAGTAAAATGGAAGAAGTGAAGTAATAAAGTCCTCTGAGGCCATTAAGGGGAAACAAAAACGTCTAATTCCAGGCCTTTGCCCAGAGAATAAAAAAATCAGCCGTAATAAAGGAATTCACAAGAGAAAAAAATCTAATAGAGCTCTAATTTCCACCCGACTCTTTTTGTAGTGGTTCCTCAATTTTATCAGAATAGTTTTGACATAACTAAAACGTGCTTTTTAAATTTTAAAGAACAATCCATGTAGATGCTTGTCTATGCGGTTGCAGAGCCTAATTATTGTAAGGGTTTTTGAACAACAAGGAAGGCAATAAAAAGCTGGTAGAGAAGGTACCATTTACAAGCTTTAACTGCAGAAGGAGGGGCACAGTTTAGGTTCGAATGTTCACACGTCCAACCAAATGTTAATTTAAACACAGAGAATTTTTTCTGTACCAGGTGCTCACCCACACTCAGAGGGCCCAACAAAAACAACCCCTGGAGGAGTCGTAGTTGTGCAGGGCTCACATACCCTGGGCAAACCAAGAAAACCACCCAAGCCTCCACAGCGTCACTCAGCTGGAACAATAGACTACAACAATCAACACAAACAGCATCACCAGCAACACCAACAACCGCCAGAACAACACACCCATGCGCCGTCCCTTTCGACTTTCAGATCACGTAGCAAGACTGTCTCCGATGCGCAAGGTTTCAATCTTTTTTCTTTCCTTTTTTTCTTCACCAATGGACGTATTAATGCTTAAAGGAACTATGCGCATAGAATCTGCATGGAACATAGTTCTTTTTGGCATGAATAAGTCCGATGATTATGAGCATCCATAAAAGGAAGGACCTGAGCTCTGAAAAATTCAAACTTGAGTTGTTTACACTGGAAATTCTAAAATTTATCAAACTATGCTTTAGTTAGAATATTTGGAAGTTACTATTTGAAGAAATTTTTCCTGGTCATATTTAAAACTTGTCATCTTTTAACCAGCTACTGGATGCCTTTTTCCAGAATTTGATCTCTAAGAAAGGAAATTTTGTCCTAAGTTCAGCAAAAGTCAGCGTAATTTTTTTAAGAAGAGAGAAAAATAGGAATTTCGCACAAAGGTCAGGGATAGTCAGGAATAGTAGAGAATAGAGGAGTAGAAGAGAAGGAGGAGGAATAGTAGAGGGATAGTAGAGAATTTTGGAGTAAAAGAATAGCAAAAATAGCTAGGGGAAATTCAGGGAATTTGAAGATGAAGAAATTATGGGAACCCTGCAATTCGCAAAAATCTAATGGCTGCAATAAGTGACCATGTGACGCAAGTCGGAATAATATTTGTTCATATTTTTATTTATTTTTCCTTCACGTTCATTATGGTCCGAAAAACACATTTTGTTGTAGGGCTCTTGAATTTTCAGCTCTGGTAAGTAAAATTTTAGCTGTATGTGGGCCCTCCTGTCTTTCATTTAACATTTCCATTTTTTTGTTTGCTTGCAGAGGAAGTAGAGGTAAAAAGCTCAAAGCCAGACTTTGATCCTGGCACAAAATCAGAAGGAGAGGAAGACAGCTGTCATCTCGGAGGTAAACAAGGATCGTCTCTTGGCCGAACGCCAAACCATTTGACATTGAGCACGACGTCAACACTCTCCGCAGGCAGCACCGGGAGTCAGGCTAAACTTATTCAATCTTCTCAACAGCCAGAAAACTATCAACCACCGAAAATTAAAGACCTCGGTAAGAATAGGAATAAAACAGAAAATACATGTTCCAGGTGTAGGCACACGAGGAAACACAAAAACAAAGCTAGGAACCCAGAAATTAATTTTTGAATCATGATAATGGTGATACTATGGATGGACACAGACATTTTTTGGTTTGCCGTACTTACTGCAAGTTTACCTACGTCATGTTTTATTTTTTCGAAAGAAGACTAAGTAATGATTTATATTGCATCAATTTGTCCCCCCATAAAGAATATTTTCTGAAGATTTCGCACTATATTGTTCAGTTACACTTTCATTTTAAGAGTGAACCAGGAGTGAAAATTTTAAAATACCAAAATGAAGGTTCGTTGTTTTGTAGTTTCGTTGGTGATATTTTACCTAAACTGATGTATTCTTTTCTTTCCTTCTCTGTATATTTTCGTCACTTTCATTTTTCTTTTAGTTTTTCATGTTGTAGAAGTATAATGTCTAAAAAAGAATCAAAGCTTATGCATTTGTCATAAATAAGGCTTTTAATATTTTCCCCTAGATTATTCTAGATAATCAGAATTTTGGAAAATTAATTGTATTCCTGCCAAATGGCATACCTAATTTATTTTCGCTGACAAAGGAATATTTTGAAAGTTCTATTGTTGAAAGTGTCTCTGTTACTGCACTGAGAAAAGCAATTGCTGTAGTTTGTGATGTTCGTGAATGTCTAGTGGTCCTAATTCTTGTTTTTTGGAAAATATGAATGATGTGTGAAAAAAAGTCCCTCAAAATGTACACCATGTCTGAGATGGGTCGGTAGTTCATCCGTCATAGGGACTAGAAAATGGATCCTGTGTTAGCTTAAGTGCATTTTGCATTGATTTTATATCATGATACAGTCTCATAAATCAAGTAGACAACACAAATTTTTCAACCCTAAAATTTTTCATTCCCTAATGAATCCCAGTTTTTTCCGGTCCTAGTCACCATGGGCTAGTCAAGCAGCCAAGCCGGCGTGAAATGCCGCACGAATTATTTTCGTCATAATTCTATGCAGTATGATTCTGTTGGCCCTCTCTCAGCATGAAATGGTTAGATATATGCATGGATGTTATTACGCCCTATTAATTCCTGTCACTCTCTTCATCTTTTTGTAAATATGAAGTTCTTCCTTAAAGACTAATTTCTTGCCTGAGGTCTTGTCTGTGGCAATCAGAACCCTTGCCCTCAGTGTATCCGATAGGACTCAGTTTATTTAAATGATTCAGCATGATGAATTTTAAGCTTCTCAGAGGCTGTGCTATTTATTCTCAATGATGTAAAAACGAAAGGAACTTCCTCTAGTTTTGTCCGCTCTCAAAGGTTGCCTCAAAACAGTCCCAAACGGACAAAAACACTCGTTTCTTGGCTCAGGAAGCTCGATCAAGTCTCAGGACTAGGTGCAATTGATTGTACGCCTCAAGATGCGTAGGATTCGACACCAATTTCAACATATTTTTTCCTGTCCAAAATCGAGAAAAGTCGATAGGGGTTATAAGAACTAAATTTTCCGGGTCAAAATCGAAATTTTACTGATCGGGCCGAAACCAAGCTAGTCTGCTTGGAAATGATCAGGGAGTCCGATTTTCTGGTTGAAAAAGCTCCACAAGTCTGCTGAATTGCGTGATAGGCGAAAAGCACAAGATCGCCGTACTTTTTCAACAGGGTCGAAAACACTTGTTGAGAAGCCGCAAAGAGCCTTGGGACCATGTGCAATCAATTCTACACCTCCGACTACGTTGGATTTGTCACAAATCTTGAAATTTTTTTCCCGTCCAAATTCGCGAAAAATTAACAGGGGTAACGTGGACTAAATTATCTAGGTCGAATTTGAAAGTTCTCTGATTGGGCTGAAACGAAACCAATCCCTTTGGATTTGACCTGCTAAATCAAATTTTCTGGTCTAGAATGCTCCACAAATTCATTGGAGCTCACAATTGGCCAATAAAGATACTTACTGAATCCTTTCTTGAAAAATTGGAAACGGTAATTTCTTGAAAGGTATGGAAAGAAAAGAGGAGCAAGGAAAAGCTAAACACCTCAAATCTACATCGAGAAAAAAAACGCAGTTATTCTACCATTACAACGGTAGTAATGTCACACGGGATTCCATAGTAGTAGAACCGTAGATTTTGATTCTTGTAACAATGAGCACGGTGATATGACCGTGTTCACCGTAATATTACTGTGGGCATAGACATACTATTATGAGCATGATTATGCTACTGTGTTCATCAATAATATTACCAAAATCCACGGTTCCACTACCGTGGATTCTCGTGTGACATTATTACCGTGGTAACGTCGAATAACCGTGTTTTTTTTCTCCGTGTAGATGATTGGAATGACAGTCGCCACTGCTTGCTCCTAAAAATGTAGAATATTTACTGGTTTCACATCATTTAAAAATAGCAAGATTTCTTGGAAAATTAAAATCGAAATTCATCACTCACTCTAAATTTTTCAAATAAGTTGCATCCAAATGTGCATCATAAAATGTCGTGATATGCCCTGGCAGGTAAAAGAAATTTAAAGAGGGAAAATTTGAAACCGGAACTCTAGGATACAACTGATCGTAAACTTTCTGATCAGATTATAGGTACGCACATACTCGAGCTCAGAATGATCAGAATTGCAACGAATTTTGTCCCTTCAAAGTCTTGGACTCAACCAAAAACCAATTGGTTGCAATCCCTTTCTCTATCTTTTCTTCTTTTTTTCTCACAAAAATGCGGGTCTTTCATTTATTTCTCTTCACGTAAAATATAAATATGTTCCTATAGCACGTAGACAAAAAATAATCTTGGTAGTAAATATATCCGCTGTAACCTATTGAACTTTTTTACCTCGGGTTTAAAACATTGACACTCTTGTTGATATTAATTTAGGTAGGTGTTAGTTCTTAATTTACATAATTTTCTCCTACCTTCTGTAATTTTTTAATTATTTAATTACGACCGATCTTGAAATTATTATTATTTTTTTTTTAACGTACCGAGGTTAAGGCCTTGCCAGTTATTTCTTTCACTTCCTTGCATCCTGCATCATACCACACGCACTTTGTATTACCCTCTCATTCTGCTTGTTATTTGAGTCTGGTTTTGTGCTGTCTCTGTATGTCACACTAGCCTTTGTCTTTTGTGTGGAACATCATCCTAGACCTTATAGTCACCACAAACCGTTTTTGCAAAATCATTTGCTGGAAGGATTCCCTTTCAGGATTGAAAAGAAGAAATAATTTGCAGTTAGATTGACGAGTGTACAAGAGATACAATTCTATATACTTGCTCGGTCTGTTGGTTGTAGCAATTCATTTTGAAGAAGTAAGAATTGATTGCTGTTCCGTTATTGTGGCACTCGATGGTCCAAAAAGAGCCATGGCAACCAGGTTGAAAGTGAAGAAAATATGTGGTCGAAAATCGTCCAATAGTTTCATAATTCTTTGGCAGAACCTCTCAACCACTTTCATGTTTACATAATCATGCTATTTTTTTATTTAAAGGATATGATTTTCCGTAAATGGATGGTAATTTAAATGATTGTAATCTGTTTAGGGTCTCCCGTCTGGAAACCGCGAGATATAAGCGAATCATTTACACTCCCTCGGAAGAGCAAAGCCGCTTCAACTTCAAACGACCAACGGGCACGCACACTGGGGCGCAAACCAGACCCGTCAAATCATATCGACTCGCCAAATCCATGAAATAAGGCCAGGCTTCGGCCAGGGAAAATTGTTATCTGATCTTGTTGTTTTGTTTGTGTTTTTTTGTTGTACTACATTCACTGTATTCGCAGGGAAGCTACACAAGCTATTACCTTCGTCGCTGTTTGGAGTGTAATTTTGAATTAATTCGTTTCGTCAGCTTTTGCTGGGTTTGGTGCCCACACGCTATTGGACATCATCATTAGCGGAAATGAGAATCAATGTAACAAACGTCAAGTTTGCCCTGGCTGTGTGTTTAATTGCCATTTTGAGGGGGATTTTGCATTTATTGAGGCAGCACAAAGTGTTTGAAAGAGCGCTCCCAAAATGAGCCAAGATTTTTATTAATCAGGCAACCTGAATAAAATATTACTTGTTCAAGTGGATGTGTTCTTTTTAGAAAAAAATAAAGGAAAAATAACTGTTCAGAAATATTTAACAACAAAGCTGCAAGATGTGGAGACCGTTATTTTTTGCGTCTTCATCAAGTATTCCTGCCTCCATGTCTGGTATGATGATAGATTGGACCAAAAATTTGGATGCCTCAACGATTATTTGCTGACTGAAGGCAATAGGCTGTCAGAACTTAGCTTTCCAATTGCACTAAGAGATGGCTTGTAGTTCATCCCATCCTGTAAGAATTTTTTCTGGATTTTTCATTCTTCAAGCTCAATTTTTTTGGGTGGATGAGACTTTGCTTTGCTCTCTTGTCACACAATTGGGGCTCAGCCTGTCAAGCAGCTTATTCCTTGCTCAAGATTGGCAGGCCACCAGCTCCAGGTTTTGATTATCATTACAAATATGCAAAATACATTTTAAACCTCCACGGAACTTATTCTTAATACACCAACTATCTGTCACCCAATGTGAGCAGTGTCTCTTAAATGCATTCACACACTGGCTTCATAGCTCTGACTAGGGTAATTAACAAGAAGAAAATGCTCATGTGTCGGACTTTTCAATTCTTTGCGGTTAAATTCAATCATAAAATTGAAAATCTGAAATTCTTGACCACAATAGCGGAGTATTCTGTGCCTCTTCTGAGCTAATGTATATGGCTTGCTCCTAATTTTTGAAGTGAATCATGTTTTTACTGGGCTAACTTTCTAAGTATCTCAAAATTTAGCATTGATTCTTGATATCTCTGCTCAAATAGAATTTTATCAACGTTCTGACATGAGGGAGGCCTTGATACATATATGTCAGCTAATTTAAAAGCAACAATGGCTTCAGTTTTGAGGTATGCAAAGTGTTTTTTCAAGAAACTAATTTATGAAACTAAAACGATTAATGAATGCTCTCCCATTTGAAGAAGTGGAATTAGCTCATTGAAATTTGAACCATTTCTTTTGAGAGAGAACTTCTTGTAAGTTACCCTAGATCTGGTCGCTCAATTTTTTTTACTGGCAAAATAATAGATATGATGTCTCTTTTTTTGAATTTGTTATAAGGAAGGTTTCTGATGATTTGCAATGTTTCAATGTGTCATCAGAATATACCTTAAGAAGGAAGTATTTTCTTTAGTCGTGTGACTCATTTTGCTGATCTCATTGCACTCGGCTAAGCGTAATTCTATTTCTCACTAGTTGAGGTACCATGATTTTCTCATTTATGAAGTCAGTAACTATAGCACATCCTCTCTTCTTTTTCAGTTTTTTAAAGTATACTAAGAATTATACAAAGCAGAATTTTTAAGATTTTTGATTTCAAGATTAGTTGAGAGTTGGAACTACTGTGTGAAGAGTAAGTATTTAGCTTCAGATTTTTGTAAAACACTAAGTGCAAAATAATCTATCGCTGATATGCATCTAAGGTCAGCAAACACACTTGTGATTTGGTTGGTTGAATAGTGTCAGAGGTTGAATTACTATGTGCTCAGTTCTTGAATTTTAATGAACTTGCCTAGAGAATAAAGAGAAAGATTGTATTTTCAGGGCACTGTGTTAGAAAGTTAACTGCTACAACTGATAATTAATAGGTTTTTCACTGAAATTTTTGGTATCTCCTCTCCTGAGAAAAAAAAGAGCACTGTTTTTAAAGTTTTATTTTGCTGCTGAATTTTTCTATTCATTTTTCTGTGCGGAAACTCTGCTGTTGATGTGCCAAACTTTTCTCTTGCTTCCCATTTTTTTATTGTACATCTTTTATTTTTCTTCCTTCTTCCAGCACATTAAAACTCTCTGCTCCTAGATAGTGACTACCAATTTAAATTAATTATAATTTCTAATTTTTTTAACACGGTGCGGAAGAATCGATTTCAAGTTGATTCAACTTCGCGAAAATAGCTCAAAAGTAAATACTAGTCACATACCTTATAAATCTAGTCTTAATTGTATCATGATCTATTTCAGTAAGTTAGTAATTTATTAAAATTTATTACAAAATGTTAAAAAAGTGAAAAAAAAAATTATGAGATATTGAGTATTTTATGAATGTACACAACCATTACAAATTTATTTAAAACTTGTATGCATACAGTTATATAAGTAACTCAGTGATTTCTTTCTTCCTTTATTGTTTGAAATGTTTAACTAGAATTGGGGAATTTTTTGGGGAAAAGTTGTTAGGGAGGAGGCCATACTAGAAAAATTTTCTGGATAATCAATCTTTCTTTCCACCCCCGCAGTACTTCAAAAATGTCATGCTTTTAACCGACTGGATCAGGTCAAATGTGAGTATCAAAGAATTGTGTTGCCATCTTTGGGAGACTTTGGAGAGTAGTAGAAAAGCAATGGCATTGGTTCAAATGGAAACAGTTTTCAATCCTACAAGACATTGTCTTTTGAAAAATACAGTAGATCCTATCATCCATTAGGCACGTTATGATTTCTTCTGCCTTGGTTTCTTTGATCATTGAAGGATGCATTTGCAAAAGTGGCCTCTCATCGTGCGCTCATGATGGGATCCTTGGTGAAAGTAACACTAATTGTTGTGTCCTTGCGTCCTTGATATGACATGCACTGTATTATTTAAAAGGCAATATTTTTCATAATCTATGACTTTGAGTTTTGGCCTTTATACCAATGTTCCTACTTCATGCATGTCTGTCTATATCAAAGGTCAAAATATAATAATTTAAAACATGCAATGGAGCTCTAGACAAGGTGCGAATTAAAACACTACTCAAGATGTTTTCTCTCCAAAATTTCATGACGAAAACGAATCATGCAATAGGAAGTCTGAAAATCAACTTCTGAACAAGATATAAGTGTTTATAATTAACATCAGTTAAATGACTTAAATGGCAAAAATACAAATGACGTCATTTGTATAATCTAACGTCTATCTAATCTGTGTTAAAAATATTTGCTAATATCTCGCTCAGGATTGATTTCCAAAATTCCTGCCGTATGATCCGCTTTCTATGTAAGATTTTGAAGAGAGTTTATGTAACATTAATTCCTAGTTCAGACCCTATCTAATAGTTCATTAACCAATTCCTATCTATGTTGTGCGGATATTTGAATGAAATTTGTTGATATGTAGTCAGTGTAAGATAAAGCTGTAAGTATTCATCATCAAAAATCATGTTTAAACCCAATTGAACGGAATGGGTGATGTATTTTATGCATCACTGAACTGTTTTGCATATACTTGTTAAGGTCAATTCCCCTTTCATTATTTTTTGCTGAATCTTATTTTTTTGTGTCTAACGGGTCTTTGTATCTATACATGTCTTAATGAGCATACACAAACTTCACATCTCAAAAATATGAAAAATATTTCAAAAAAGATACCATATTAAAATATATTGTCCTTTAAATATTGCGAGAAAAAAATAGCAAAAAAGCCTGTTTTTTTTTTTGTTAAAAATAAATTTTGGAGGAAATAATTAATTGTCGCAAAAAAAATTAAATGGAGAAACTGCAATGTTCGACATTTTTTCAATTTAAAAAAATGCTCATGTAATATGATGTTATATCAAGGACCAATTATAGATTAGTATCACGCTAAAATTTCCGATTCCCAGACATTTCTATTCCCCAAGGGTCACATACCTATGTAGCAGTTCTGAGTCCTTCCCAAGGAACACATCCTGCATTTTTATGAGCCTGCTGTGCAACGTCTTCAAAGTGCTCACGAGACGTAGTACTAAAGCTCCCAAATTGTGATGCAATTTATGAATGGTCCCTCGATAAGTTGTGCCCCAAATCGTTGTCTCCTGCATGCAGGACCGTATCTTGTCTGCATTGTTTCAGTATTTCTTTAAAGGTTTTATCTTTTCATGAGGAAACCTTTCCACAAATTGTTCTAAAAATTCCAGCGCCTCTTTTTTTTACGAAAGTGAAGAAAAATCTGTGGAAATTTTAACAAATACATTCAATGGTTATCGATAGAAAAATAAAATGTTGGCAAGAAGTAATATAACAATGCAATCAATATGCATTCCTATGTACGAGAGACGACAAAATGTGTTTAAAGTTTTGAAATTGTTTCATTGGCGCCGATTGTTGTGGTTCGAAAGAAAAAGGAAAGAAAAATGGCAATGAACTCCAAATTCTTCATGCTTGAAGATTTTTCCAGATAGCCTTATTGAAAAATTCCCCTTTTTGTTAATATTGTACATTGTGTCAGTCTGTTGTTGAAAGAGAAAATATAAGAGCAAGAGGAATCCTCTCACCAAGTGTTTGTGCACTTTTCCTGGATAAGGAAAGTAATTGTGAATGTATCTATTAAGTGATAATGAAATTTGTTAGTTGTTCGTATCGTTTATTCAATGAAAAAATTTAAAGTTGTATCGCTGCATTCATGATTTATATTGTGTTCCATTTCCTGTACAGTTTATGTTTTGCAGCAAGATTTCTAGAAATAGGCGAAAAACTTCCATTGGGTGATGCTACTTGGTCATTTCGGTCTTTTTCTCTTGGGTAGCAATTTCACATCCCTAGTTTTGTTTTCCTAAAAACTGTCTACATAAATGGCTCAGGCATACCTTTCGTAGATCACTTACAAAGGGATCTCCTAACCTCCATTGTATTGGAATATCAAAGAGATTGAACAATTAAAATAAAAAAAATTCTGTTTTACCTGAATGAAAAATTCCGATTTGTACTAGCCCCCTTCCGCAGCAAGCTCATTGCAAATTACATGGCGGATAAAAATTTTGAGTTTTAACATTTCCTTATTTATGACTGGAGTGTGCAGGGATTTCATCCCTGAAATCACATCCTATCAAATCAAAGAATATTTTGATCAGGGTTCTTTTTTCAAGGCAAAGTTGAAAGCTTGCAAAATGTGGACGATGAATTCTACTGTGACTTCCCCTACTGTCTTCAAGTTATACAGCATTCATCCATACATCGATTTGTGGGGTGAACTTGCACCAAATATTAAAATTCAAAATTTTTGTAACTATCAAGAGTAATATGTCTTGCTGTAGAGTCTCCAGGAGAAAGCTAGAAAATTGCAGTCTTATCTCGGGTGGATAATGAAGCATTCAATGAATGAAGCTCTTTGGTATTTTACGGGTTTTCATTGATCCTAGCTGGGCGAAAGAGGTTAAATCCATACTGATCAAGATAAATCATTACTAATCTTTTGGTGTGACAGGAACCACATGCAAAAACACATGATAACAAGGAAAAAAATGAATCATAAAGAGTGATAGTTTCCGCTAACTGAACCGTTTGATTGAAAAAGGATGATAAAACCATAATCCTCAACAATTATCCTCATTTCTAAACATAAACATTATCATTGCCCCTGGATTATCGACTGCTTTTTCTTTATGTCATTATGAAACATTTTTCAAGAACGTTTTTATTTTTTTCTCTGAAAGCCACTCGAAGTAAGGGTGTATAAAAAGTCAGAGTACATTAATTTTCCAAGATGGATGGGATGATTGAGCTACGTCAGACGCATTCAAAAGCACCTCTACCAGTGATGTTATTTTTTTTCTCTCTCTTTTTTTGGTTTGTTTTGTTAAGAAATTGGTGAAACAGATAATTTCTGATTTTTGGCTCCTTATGTTTTTTCATTGAATTTATTTTATACAAAATTTTCTTGTGAAGAGACTTAGGTATTCAACAGGAGAAATTAAATTAATGTTGAAAACAAAGCATGATAGCTGAAAAGAAAAATGAATGTTTAAAAAATTACAGAGGATTCACTCTACCGATCACAATCAAAACGTATGTTATCTTTATGAAATAAATATTGGTTCTTTTTGTTTGTTAACTCGTTATACTTTTCTAACCCGATGAACCCTCTCATCTACGATGGAAACAGTTGTTCTGCTCTCTAAACCTTTCTACTTATTAGTAATGTGAAAGGATGCATCTGAAATCATAATAAGAGAATTTTTTGTGCCAAGTTCTATGAAGTCATTTAGAAAATTTAAGCAATTTTGAGTCACCGCAAATCAACAAAATGGAATTAAAGAGAAGTCAATATGAATGTAATTTATTGTCTTCATCATTATATTTAAGTAAAGAATGTCTTACATTAGACAAAAGGAACTGTGAATCAATTAACTTTGATCGACTTAAAACAATCATATATGACATTAATTACAAGACTCTTATTTAATACTAATAAAGTAGCTTCACTAGTTGGTATCTTGATCACAAAGCATGAACCCTTTTAAAACAAAGGATGTCAGAGGCAAGAATTAACTTATTTTGAGATCTGAACAACTTTTGACCTGTCTAAGTTAAAAGTATTCAATTATCGCTTTCTCAGTTTTAGTTTTTTAAGAGAGCGGGGGCAGCTTCTGGAGAAAAGGCATCATTATTTCGACACTCACTCGAATTTAGAAAGCTATGTAAATTTAGCAGTTTCATCTTCATCAAGTTCAATTTCATGTTAGGATGGCTTGATAGGGAAGAAAAATGCTTCTTCAAGATTCTGCCATGATTTTAAAGAGTAGATCTTCCAATTCATATTTCATTGAAACAAGGCTCTACCATTTCAAAGAGATACGCCAGCTTCCCACTACGCAATGCAATATCCAAGGCTTTTTCTCCAGCTTTGTTGGTAATGTTAGGATCAATATTTGGATTTGTCAAAAGTAACTCTAAGGTATTCTTGGCGCGCCCTTGCTGTGCAGCTAAATGAAGGGGCGTTACGGCACCTTCTGTTTTCGCATTAACATCTGCACCATAACGGATCAGGAGCGCAGCACTTTCTGCATTGCTCCAGTGGCATGCTGAATGAAGCGGCTGCCACTTCTCTTTCGTGCATGCACTAACATTGGCACCATGGTCTAACAATAACTGCACAACATCAGCGCAGTTGTTGTAGCATGCTCTGTGAAGAGGCGTGTATCCGTCATTATCTTGAGTGTTCACAAGTTCCGGATTTGAAGACAGGATCTCTTTGACAATGGCAAGGTTCCCAGTTTCTGCGGCCCAAAGTATTTTGGCAGTGGGACTTTCGTCTGGATTCTGTTCTTCGATACCGTCATTGTCATCATCCCAACCACTAACCTGACCGACTGGAATGTTGCTCTCAGTCAACATCTCTTGCAAATTTTGTAATTCGTCTTCGCTCTCTGACATTATAACTCAATTGCAATTCCGCCAGTTTCTCAACTGCAAAAAATGCAAATTATTCGCCAATATTAAGGGTCAGGTTGTTAAGAGTCCACTAAAAAATGTTGACTGACAAACTGAGGAGATAAGAGAGACGGAAATCAAAATAAAACGTCACTTCCTGATTTCCTGTACAGGATTAAACTTAATTGTCCATTTTCCTTGGCCAGAGGCTTTCATTTCAAGGCTCTACACTCCTGAAGAGTAAGCTCATGTAGACTAAGCCTGCTCAGCTGGGACCAATCATGAGATCTAACAAGTTTATCACACAAGACTTTGCTTTATCATAAAATTCTAAGGCTCTGATATTTCTTTTAAGCAGGAGAGAGATAAGGGTGCATACAGTAGGGATTCTTGATATTGAAAGAAAAAAGAAGGATGTTTCCAAAATTAACAATTAAATTATTTATTCTGTAGGAGTTCACAGACACATGACTTGTTGTAAGTATAAAGAGGACGAAGAGGTATAAAACATGTATTGTTTAGCAACAAATGCGAAATTAAAAGCGCCTATAACATGTAAAAAAATTAAAAACTGACACAAGACATTCGAAAACTTTGAAGCTATGAAACCAAACAAGATTGTGAGAATGAACATTTATTTTTATCAGTGAAATCGATGAAAATAAGTCTCGTAAAAAAATATGAAATTGGTTCTTTCAATGATGCGGTGAGGTACAATATTTCCTTTGTTGACTTTTTTCCTTGGAACAAATTCGGAGGAGGAATGTAAAAAATAGTGTATTTTATTCGTAAAATACACTAACAACCAAAATTATGAAGAGTTAGAACAAAAAAAGGAAATTTTTTTGATCTAAGATTCATTTCATTTCATCTCAAATTATCTACAAAAAAATTCATTCCGAAAAAGTATTGGAGCTGTAGTAACGTTCTTTACGCCCTAATTTTCAATACGGTACAAAAAAATTATAAAAAAACAAATCAGTTTCACTGAACTTAGGTAAGTGAACCAAACATTGCACGATCATAACTTATTGTGGTTTATTTTGAAGAAAATACCAAAACTTCTGCTTCTATTTGTTGTGTATTGTGGTTTCATTATTTCATTTTAAAAATATTGAAGTACTCCTTCATACTCCAATAAATGAAAGCCTGCTGATCAGACATTCACTAAGACATTATACAAACTCGGTTATGAGGCTAATGGGAGAGTGAAAAAATTTATAAACAATTACAAAATAATTAAAACCACAATACTGCTAAAACCCGACTGTTGGTAATTCTTTAACTGATGATTAAACCACAGTCTTATGAAAAACCTTTATCTTGCACCTACTTGATCTCTCGGAATCAATTATAACTCTGAGCCGTGCTTCAGAAAAGCACTGCCAGAAAAAAAATGTAGAAAAATATACAGACCATTAATAAAACAGAAAAACTGGTACTAACGTTAGTGAGAGCTTAATTCAATCCATTTATACATGACTGCAATTTAAATTTCTTTGCGACATGAATTTTTGATGGAGAAAACTCGAGGCAGAAATGAAAATAAATAGCCAACAAAAACTGTCAAGTAACCTCAACGCTTGAAGCTCTGCCATTAAGAGTATTTTCGTTGATGATTGGTCGAACCAAAATGGATGGATCATATTAGTTTCGTATTTTGATTTGGCGCGATCATACTTCATCGGAACAACATCAGGACTCCCAGACGGATAGAAGGTGAAATTCTTGCAAACGTTGGAGCCGAAATATAATCCTACAAAGAGTAGGGTTTAGAAATGACCTAAGGAAGATGATGGCATCCAACCAGCATCAATTCCGAAAGTCTAACCTCAAATGTTTACAAACCCGATTATGATCTCGTCGCCATTATTGCGGCATTTTGGCTTGGCCGATCATTAACGAAAATACGCCTCTTCACTTAATTCTCTAACTGATGAATAAATCACACCCCAATGAAACTCCTTTATCTTCCACCTACTCGATCTCGCGGGATTAATCGTAACTCTGAGCCATGCTTCAGAAAAACACTGCCAGCAGTTTGTTGTGGGTTGATACCAATACCATCATCGGTGATTATGGCAGAAGTGGCAGGATCAACTTTAAACTCTTCAGCAGCAAATTTCAGAACCGCTGTGAAGGGTGTGTTCTCAAAGACTGCTAATACTTTGAAAGGTAGTTTGGGGTCAGAGGTGAGAGTTATCTTGAAGGACACTTTTGAGCCAGAAGTAGGAGCTGGGCTACTTTCAGATGCCATTTTGAATTGTAAGGTTTCTTCCAGGAAAGAACTTAAAAATATTGCACAATAAAAATTTACTCCCTAAAGGCTATAAAATAGTGCACTTTAGACAGTTGGAACAAGAAAATTTAATACCTTCTCTTGTTTCTTCAGGAGGGAGCAGGTCTAAGTCTTCGTCGTCAGGTGATAAATTAAATTCTTCGATGCTGAAAGTATCAGTTAGTTGTGGACGGTTGCGGGACACGGGGAAGAATTCTACCTCCTCTTCACTTCCACTGTGTAAAAAATAGAAATGGGGGAAAAAATTAAATATGCCATTTCCGGGTACAAGTAAACTAAGAAAAGCAAGGGAAAGATGGGGACAAGGTGTAGTTAAAATGCCAATAAAATTTGAAAATTGTTGTGGTATACATACTATTTTTATCCTATAATTTTTAACTTTTGTTCTTCTGAGATTTCTCTTCTTCTTTTGTTTCAATTGCACTTCATTTAGAAATTAGGAACTATCTGACTCGTTTATAAATCCCTATCTGCGTAGGGAAACTTATGGAACATATGTTGTTTCTAAAAAGAGCTGAAAATTGAAGTATCAAATTGCAAAGTGTAGGTAGTCCAATTGATGATAACTTAGGTTGCCACATAAACATAGCTCAAATTTTGCTTACACTTGAGCCAAGCTTTGCTCCTACCGTTCCTATGATTTTCTTGTTACATTATAGTTGAGCAACTATTTAATTGTTTTCAACTCATAATTAATCACTTTTAACCGATTTTAGAAGTAAGCAGTAGATTTGATGCAGGTCAAATTAACATTTTTCAAATTATGTTTTGAATTTGGCAATAGAAGAAGAGCAACCATACAGTTTTACTCGACTAAGAATAAACTGAACTCACCGATCATCAGACTCCCAGTCAACCAAAGGTTTATTCTCGATTTGCTCTAGAACGTGAGTTTTTGATGCTGGAATGGGCAGTAGATCAATTGGAATAAGCGAAGCTGTTTTTTTCACTTCAAATACTTCGTCACAAAACTTATCTGCAACAAGAAAGTACCAAGTCTGCTTAAAAATTGAGTTACTTCAAACTGAGTGTACCTACAATTCATAAAAAGTTGTGTCAGTCGATTTTCAAGATTCTTAGTAGATTTTCAAGGTTCTTAACTATTTTAGCCAAAAATGAATGAGTGACTACGTGACTAATAAAGAGGAAAAAACGTTTTTTCAACACGAGCGCAATTTACCAAAATTTATCAAATTCTTAATTTCTTCTGCCATTTTTCGATGAAAAAAATAGAGAAAAAAATTGATACCCTAATTATGAAAGTGAAATGACAAAATGCAATACTAGGAAACTATCAGAGACATCAGTAGTGAGAACCAAATGAAATTAAAATTGCTCTCTAGTGTGCATACCGCACATCCAGATACTGGACATAAAGGCAACATAACATGCTTACTCACTTAAAAACCTGAATTTTAATGGTGAGTCGACTATATCTTTAAATTAATAATTGTGTGGAAAGATAATGTAAATTAGCATGCCATGGAACCAAACATTTTTGGAAGATAAAATTTTAAAGGAAGTCTCATATTCACTAACTTGAACCCTTTTCATCAAAATGCACAACAATGAGCAAAGTCCCTCTTTCAAACATTAAAGACAGGACAACAGCAAGCAAGTACGATCAACAAAAAATAACGAACCTTTTGATATAACAAACTTCAGCTAGGACCAGTGCCACCTTTAGATTATATTCAAAACTACTGACAAGACTGAACATGTTGAAATAAACGTCTTGTGGGAATTTTAAAATGAAAAGTTTATCATTCAATTTGAAAATAACCTGAGTCCTGATGGTTTCTTGAAGACTCTTGTTCCTGTACCAAAATACTTTTTCGGTTAACTTCCTCTAAGTCAAACGCTCTTTAAGTGGAATTTTCCCCGAAGTCAAACTTTTTTAAGTCTCGTCGAATTTGTCATAGGAACAACAAGCCTTATGAGTGGGATTTTCTCTCTGAGTGGAACTAACAATCTGGCCCCTGTGCAGTTCGACTTGGAGGAAGTTAGTGTAACACATTTATGCTTTAGAAAAACATCATTGATTTTAATGTCGACTTAAGAGTTTTAAAAAGTGAGCAACTCAGAATTTTTAATCTTATGAATGTATCATCAGTTTCCATTCTTTAAAAATCATTAATTTTCTGATCAAAACTCTTGAGTCATTTTGGAGATTCATATGCACTGTCAATGAAGAGAACTTCTCATGGAAGAGGTTCTGTTACTCTTGATTTCTAGTAAAAAGTTGAACATTTTATCATTGCTCCCATGCACATCTATTGATTAATGCTATTAAGAGAGCAAATATTTTTCACAAGCATTGAAAACTGCTCTTCAAAATTAGTTGTCTATAGTTCTGCTAGCCTCCTTAATTATTTCCCTTTTAAATATTACACTGCCTTTTGAGCACACAAAATTATATACAGTCATGCTTAAGATCCAGTTAACAAAGATATGAAGAACTCTCAGATGAAGCGGCATACAGCAGAAAAAGCACCTTTTGTGGAAAACACATTTACTTGAAGTTTTCATTCAAACTTATGCAGCAAGAAATTATATGATGCAACCCAAGAAAGTTGTTTTTCTATAAAACATATCCCTGGGGACTAAGAGGAATTCAAAATAGGAATGTGACCTGTTATTTCTATCCTGCAATACAGAGGTGAAGAAAATGTCCAATCTCATGGTCCTAGGATGGCAGCAAATATGGACAAATAGCTTGGGTTAAGAGGTAATTTTTAAAAGTAAGTATTAGCTTTTATTTTAATTTGCTTTGTCTTACTCAATGCTTCAGAGAAGTCTAGAAGATGACAGTTTCATGTGCATCCACAGAGCAGGTTGTCCACTAGTGAGCGTTGCAAAAAAAAATTTACTACTAGCTCTGATCACTAATCGGTCATATTGGAGATATCACTGCTGCTGCCAATTAAGGATAGGTGGTACTAAATGTACATACATACATGAATGCATGTACTAAATCTGCTGATCATAAATTCAGCACCAACGGATCAGTTTTACACCATATTTTGGTAATTGATAGTGTCGCGAACATTGAAAGAAATCTTCTCTTGTTCCTTAGTTGTGATTAGTGTGGCAACTGTGAAGGTGAGTGTCCGGTTGCAATGATCATTGAGGCAGTCTACATATAGACCTACCTTCCTACACTGATGACCATATTAAAAAATTGGGGGAAAAATCCAGGAAAAATTTCAATACAAAAGTCAATGTTCAACAAGCAAACAGACGAGAGAAAACAAACAAATTTACGACATACATAGACAAGGGAGTGGACCAATCTCATACCCGATTTACAAAATGGCAGAGTTTTACTAGACTTCAACGCAGAATTGAAAGTAGATATGTTTGCTCCTGCGCTGCCATTTGCCTAAAAATACAAATATCCATAAAAGAATGTTTAACGATGTTTGCCTTTGAAAATTCCAAATCCTTGGAGACTTTTAAAGAACATTTTAAATGAATTCCTTTTTTTATAATTTTAAACTTGCATCAAAATTGAGCAAGATGTACATCACAATCTCAAGAGTACCTCTCATTCAAGGCTGTTGTAAGGAAAAATAAATACTTCATTTTTGAAATAGAAAAATGACCAACGTCATCTCATGAAAACTTCTTAATTAGGTAATATTTTTTTGAGTCAAGAATAATCAATTATGGAAAAGTCAAGAAATATCCTTGGTTTATTCTCCTTCGATAAAATAAGACGGAAGCAGAAATTATGAAACACCTTAAACGAGTTATGCATTCCATTTTTACTGCCTGTATGTAACAAGTTAAAATAAAGATTCCTCAACACAAACCTTACTCAGCTGGTGATGAAATGTCCTCAGAGATACATTTACCATCACTTTCATTTCATAAGTGCCTTAGTGGAGGTTCCAAAAAAACTTACCAATAAAACTTGATTCTCAAAAAGGAGTTGATATTTTTGGTCACTGTCAATTCCACTGTCATCCATCTGCTTCGATCATGGCGGCCGACAGGAAAACTGGAAATTTTACAGAAACAAAGAGAGTATAGTTGAACTGCGTAGAGAAGAGGAAAAATGAAAAAAATCAAAAGGGGAAAAGTCTATAACAGCGCAAAGGGAAAAAATGATGGTCATTGATTGGACCAAAAAAAAAAAGAGAAAGGAAACAGGTCTGAAAGCTTTAATCAAAACAGCTTCATGAAGACTTCCCTATCAAAAAATTCGAACGTCACAGTACTGCTCCGACAGTGAAAACCCGAGTGCTCCTATACTTCAGTGCATGTCAACGGTGTAAGTCAGCAATCACATAGCTCAGTTTGCAACGTCGCAGACTTCTTGTCATACTTTACTTTTTAAACGGAAAACTACTCAACGGCAATTCTTTAAAACTGCCGTGATTTTTCCTCTCTGTGAAAAAAATTCTGCGAAAACTTCAAGGAATGATGTCAATTTTTTCTCCTTTACAAAAATAACAAAGAGGCAGAGATTTTCAGACACCGCAAACAAGATTTGTGATTGCCAACGTACACCATCAATATACAGATTCAATTTTACACCTAAGAGGATTAATTTTTATTGGGGTGCAACATCTGATCAAGAATGATGATATTTTATAATTAGCCTGGTTCTACATGCTTGATTATCATGTTCAGGAGTGTGTTCATGTCTCTCTTACTGGGGCATATTTTTAGTCGAAAATCCTTTGTGTCACGGTCTATCAAACTGAACATCCATGACCCTTCCACGATTTGACCTCAGTACAATTTTTCACGTCCCGGTATCGTCTCATCAACTTCCACCAGGTGACCGTCACCACTGATAAGCCCTTGAATTTTAAACTCCTTATCATGGGAAATTAGGCACATTTCTCGAGATATGAATAAAAAATTGGCGACCGTCTCCAAGCTCACTCTTGTATCTTTGATTATACCTGTATCTTCGTTCATCACCTGCTCACATGAGAAACGATGGGCAAAACCGAAAGTTATTATCAGAATTTTTCCTCCAGTCCAAGTGCCGAAGTGCCATGGCTTATCAAAGAGTGAGTCTATATTGGATTTATGGAACAGCCCAAGTACCGAAGTTTCTCCCATGCTACTAGTTGCAGTTAAAAATCTGGCAGATCTGAGATCAAAATCTGACAAGAGCGTTGGCTGAGAAAAATTCGTTTGCTCAGAGATTTATTTTTCTTCTTTTTTTGAGGGAGTGGGGGAGGGTATTTTGGCCCAAGTTATCAACAAACAGCCACTTTTGCTGAGAGATTAAGGACTTGTAAAGAATTTGAGAGGACTGCAGTACTTGCGAGACACACATATGTTCCACAGATCTAAGGATAAAATCACTGGGCTCTGTGAGAAAATTGATGGAATTTATGATAAACTTACATGATTGTGGGTAATAATTTTACACAGGACGAAGGAGGATTGAAATCGGCAAAATGCGGTGTTAATTTTGACTTCTTTGAGAAAGTTTCCACATCACATTCACAACACAACTGTTCATTTGTTCAAGTGTACACAAAGTACAAACTACAAAGATGTGAGCGTTGAGGTTAGAATTGAAAGTTCATTAATCGATGACATCATCAGACATTTGCCAACGAGGCCGCGAAGTTTCAGGCGCATGCGCAGTGGACTCCGGATTGGACTTTTTTGACCATTTTGACTCGGTCAAAAACAGTCAAAAAGACTTGGGTGCACTCCTTATTGCATACAACACTAACATGAAGGGGTTCTTTTTTTCGAACACACGGCGCGGCGCGGCGCTGTGACAAAAGGACTAGAACGTTCTTTATTTAAAACTGTGGTTTTCACTCGCTTCAAGTTCAGTAAAAACAGGATCAGATTAAATGTCGACCTAGGAGGCTCTTCATTTTAAAAATATTGCCGCTTACAAGTCTGAGAAGTAAGAACTAAGAACAACTGGGCCAACATATATGAACTCCAGCAACAAAACCTACCTTTTCATTTTCAAGGAAGTTTCCTTTAACGGCGTGACAAAATTGTTGATGTTTTATTATTTAGTCACTCAAAATAGGCACAGAAAGTTGGCGTGGGTATAGTGTCGGTATTTTCAGTTTTGTTTTTTGTTTTTTGTAAACCTCTTTTATGCCACTATTCCTTCTCCCTAATTTCATAAAGATTAGTTAAAAAAGATTTTAAAAAAGAGCGAAATTTTCCCGAGCATTCCCTGTGAGGAATTAAACCATGATTATTACATTATATTTCCTGCCAGTACCTAGCTGCTTCGAAAACTTGCTCATCGATAAGTACCTAATTGTCTATTTTTTACATGAAGTCCAAAATAGTATTTTTTGAATTGCAAACACTTTTTGACTATATTTTATTATCAACTTATATATCAAATTTTGCTATCTTACTATCTTTTCTAAGCTGTTTCTTGACTTCTGGTATTTCAAGTAAGTAACTGTGAAAGTTAAAATCATGTGGAACAAAAAACTTTTAATCTGAAAGCCTGCACAGGGATGAACAATATAAATAGGTAGCATGCTAAATGAACTGATATTCCGGTCATAAAGCAAAGTTAAGAAAAAAACTCTAACTAAGTATGCACACTTGATGGCGTTTATTAACAAAAATATGAGATTACATCACAAGCAGAGAGCTCTGTACTGTCATTACCTAAAACTAGAAAAAATGAACTACAAAATCACAAAACACATTTACAGGAAAAATACATAAAATATCATTATATTACAAAATGCATATAAACATATAAAAGAGAAAAAACACTAAGACATGGCCTGAACTGTAACAAGGTGGTGAAATGGTGCTGGGTTCACACCATTTCACAGGAAAAACAAAGGCAGAAAGTTCTAAAAATTTTAATTTGAGTCACATAATACGCAATTACAGAAAAAATACATAGGTGTAAACATAAAAGAGAATAACACTTAAGAAATGGCCTGAACTGTACGTAACAAGGTGAAATGGACACCATTTCGCAGGGAAAACAAAGCCAAAAAGTTCCAAAAATTTCGATTAGAGTAAAACATTTTGAGCTCTAATGGGTACCAATACAAGACTGAGAAGGGAGGGAGGTTGTTCAGCTCAGGCAGCTTGCATTGGAATATTAAGTAGAGGTCACGCCGAGAGATGTATAACGTTTTGGGTCTTTTTAGACCATCTCAGTAGATCACACTTATCAGTGAACCCAACTTAGCATACTGCAAAATCCAATACGACATATTCATGACGGCGTTTCAATGCAGTCTTGGATACAGACAAATAAATTTGATCTACTGATGTAGCCTAAAAAGCTCCAAAACTTTATAGATCTCTCGACATGACCTCAACTTAGTATTCCAATGCAAGCTGCCTGAGCTTAACACTCTCCTCTCTTATTCTTGTACTGGTACTCATTAGAGCTCAAACTTCTTAACGCTAATAGAAATTTTTAGAACTTTATGGCTTTGTTTTTCCCCAAAACGGTATGAACCCAGAACCATTTTACCTCCTTGTTTGGGTAATTTATTTGATTTCATACTAGGATAATTCAATATGAATTAATTCATTTGATTATATAAAAAGGTTTATTTATTTTTATAAAGTATATTTATATGCATATAAAATACAATTAATAACAACTGTATAACAATTACACTGACATTGGAGAATTATACATAATCTGCCGCCCTTGCAGGAGCTCTACGCCGATTTTTTCCTTCTGTCACCAAACGTTTGTTAGCATTCCTAAGCCAATTCTCGACAATTACCTTAAAGGAATTTGATGTGTACTCATGGTATTGGGGGTTTGCTCGTACAACATCTGTTACAAACAGGAGAAGGTATATGTAGGAGGGCACATGAACAACAGCAATTTTTGTACTTCAATACAGTTTCATTGTTATTGAGGTTGACACTCTCTGACACATCAGTATCTGATATCATCCAGTAACTATGTTTACACCAAAAATATTGATTACTACACATCTTGGATTAATTATTCAGCACTCAAAACTATGGGCTGATGAGTCCTATCAGCTTTTACTTTCCGCACCGACATGAAAAGTGCCTTTACTCTTAATTTCATTTATATGAACAAAACAGACAAAGCTTCATTCTATGCATTTTATATCATAAAGTATTTTCTTATTGTCATACGCAAGATTTCATAATCAAATGAAGCCTTTAACTTTACACTCAACTACTGCCCCCCCCCCCTTCTCCGACAACGTAGAATTCGAGGAGACATCTCTCAAATGAGGTCTATTCGGATGAAAGGAAAAATAAAAGTGTAACTTACTCAGGGTCATATCACATATCAGCAGAGGTTGAAAGGCTTTGTTGTTCGGGCCCTCCCCTTGGTAACTATATTCCAGAGCCGCTCGATTACTCAAGAGAGTTCTTAGTACTTCTCGAATGATGTCTCCGGGCTTCGACCCTCCCAGCTGCAAAAGACCCTGGAACTGATGAAACAAATCAAAAAAATGTTAGAGGAGTTTTGATGTTACAATTAAAAATTCAGTCAATTCAAGAAAACATTCTGTTCTCGACTCAAGGATAAATCTTTTTTAGGAAAAGGAATTATCAAAAACTTATCTTTTTTAGACAATTTAAGCTGATTTTATTTAGTTGAGATATCACATTTTGCGTGTTAATTAACTAAATTAATTGGAAAAAGAGAGTCTTGCTTTTGAATAGATATTGTTTATTAAAAGTTTAGTGGATGTACATTTCAGACATCAAGTCCATCCTCAGCACTTAAACACAGAATTATACAGTAAGAACATGGGTAGTGGATGAAATGTCACGATGCATTACAATTAAAACAGGAACAATTGGACGTATTTCTATCAAACAGATATATGTGCAGGTGAGAAATATGGGGTGTGCTTTAGAAAGCTGCATAAGAAACAATGTAAAAGTGGGCGCGATTCCTTTTAAAGAATTGGAAAAGCGGGATTTTAAATTCCCCATCTCTCCCTCGCGCCACAGCTCGATCATTGCCGCTGACGTCACTGGCGCTTCATTATTCTCATTCACTCTCACGACCAGAGAACTAACGAGCGTACCCCATATTTCTAACCTGAACATAAACCTGTTTGATAGAAATATGTCCAATTGAGCAAAGGAAGAGTTAAAAGCAAAACAAGTGCGCAGTTATTAAATAAATAGCTAATCGATGCTATCAATGTCCGGCATGTACATTCACTGAACTCTTAATAAACAATATGTGTGCAAAAGCAAGACTTTCTCTCTTTTTCCAATTTGATCTCTGCATCAGTTTGCTCATTACTTGAAGTATTAGCATGACCGAGCAGAGGTCAAAGATCTCGTGGGGTAGAAAAAGAAAACAAGCTCAGATGGGGGGCAGGTTTCCGCCTGATTACTCAATAATCACACAACAATATCTATTCAAATTCTCAAAACACTTTTTAAACTCATGTGACATCTTTCGTTCAGTGTATCATGTCCTCTTAGATTTCTTTCCTCTCACAAACCTACAGAACTAGTGTGTCATGAAGAGAGAAAATAGAATATTATATACTAAAAATAAGAAAGATTAAATTCAAATAACATGTATTCACTCACAAACAATTTCCTGGTCTCTGTGTTTGAATTCTTCAAGAAATTCTCAAGAGCCTCAACTTCAGCAGAAGACTTGCATGGGAGGCCTGCAGGGTATATATTAGGGAGACTGATTATCTGTGCTTTGTTGGCGCTTCGCCCTATCAGATTGACTGATTTTGCTGTCGCTTTGAGGTACGCAACATCCTTCAGAAGATGACCTAGTTTGTCCTCCAAGGATTTCATCTCTCCTGCAAGGAATTTAATATGAATCAATTAGAGGAGTGCAAAAACAAAGAAAAATTAACTAAATTTTATAATCACATTTAAATTAATAAATATAAGGAAGATATTCAATAACCATTAGTAAGAGAGAGATAGAAATAGAAGAATATATTTAATAATATTTAAGTGCTGTTTTTTTGACATTTTGCCACTTGTGAACACCAAATTAACATCCAAAGCCTCCAAATCCTTTGCATACAATTTGATGCATATCTCCCTTGACCAAGGGAGATGGGAGAGCCTTGCTTGTCAAGGGAGACTCCTCCAAGAAAGGGAGGTCAGGAGAAATTTAGGAATCTTAAAGAGCAGTCTGTGTGCAAATTCAAATTCAGTTTTAGTAAAACTCAAAAATTAATTTTACCTGTTCTTTTTGTTGTTCCCCCAACTACAATTAGCAGTTAGAACTTTGTAATTGACGATTTTCAAAAATTACGAGTGGAAGTAAAAAGGATAAATCAAAAAGAGGTACCTAGGTAACATTTTTAAATTTTATTACACCGAAGGATAGTCAATATTAATGAGAAAATAGTTGTTTGGAAGAGAGTACTAAGAACAGAACAAAACAAAAAAAAAATATGATTCCATACTTCATAACAAATTCAGAATATTTTAAGTCTACAAAAATACTGTAATAAACAAATCAAAGGGTAAACAGATTGGTTTTTAAATGAACTTATAATTGTTATTTGTGATGCAGCAGGGAAAAATGTGCTTGCAGGAGTGAACTCAAATTGTTCGCTTCCGCAAACAAACTAGAATAGGATCCGAAATACTGATTTTCAGTTTTCCATGCTAAACACTTTCTAAAATTCTACGGAACATTGGACCTACATTTTATGTTTGGTCGAATTATTTAAAATGGTTAGAATCAACTTTATTGCACTTATATATTAACATTTGCACAATTGCTTAAAAAGTTTGAAGCCATTTTTACTTTTAATTCCTGAATAACAATTAATCCTGATAAGCGTTACATGTTTGTTAACAAGTTTTTTGTATGAAATAGTGTTGTGCTATTTGAACACCTGCGTCTAAGTCTTTAAATAAAATAATAGCATTTTCAGGTTTGATTACATTAAAAATGAGATTCATTCAATTCCATCCAGGTTAATTCTACGGAAATTTTCTACATCTATCACAGTGTAAACATCACTTCTATAATTTAGCATGTGACTTTTCTTCCTTGAGCTTGAATCTTTATAAATTTTGAACACTACTGGATCATAAATATTTGTGTTCGCAAATTTATGTATAAAATCATGATATTCTTTTATTGCGTTTCCAATATAATGTGGTTTCTTCTGATGGAGTTGTACTTGCGAATTTTCAGCTTGCCACCATTTCAGCATATCCTCCTTGGGGGGAAGCGAAATGTAGCCATTGAGAGTTTTCGTACAAAATTCAGCCTATGGGATAAACAAAAAATGCACAAGTCAATTCACTGGGTACAAAAGTACAAAAGGAAAAGGGGGAGGGAGAAAAGAAAAAAAAGCAAGAACATTAAAAAAATCATTATTATTAAAGTGAAAGAATGATTCCGAGATTTGTGAATAGTTTACTTCCGAATTTCAGAGCAAAGATAAGACAGAAAACAACTATAAGACTTGCACAGAGGTTAAGGATGGAAAGCAAGGCTTGTGAATTTTTTTAGGGGGCGACAGGAGGATCGTGAAGAGACGAACCCTTATTTTACGAGACTACCAGGCTACCTAGTTGGATCACTTATTCTTCTTCAGTAAAAAGTTTGCATTTTTATTTTCGAGTTGCCAATGTTTTTTTATTCATCAACGGTGAACGCAAAAATACATATCACAGTGAAGTGTTTCAAAATCTCCGCTCCTATTTTATTTTTTACGATGATAATACTGAAACAAAATCATGGCTCAGAACTTTCACTGAATATGCTTCACATTGAGAAGAAAAATCAGGGAAGTTCTCAAGAAACATTTAGTAGTTTTCTAAGTAGAAAATTGAGTATGACCAGTAGTCTGCAACATTGTAAACCCAGACACGCATGTCTGTAGTTTCACCATCCTTACACTCTGCTTTTCTTTCTCATTTGGGTCTTAAGTTCAATTGCTTTATCAGTGGAGAGCGGCAAAGGATGTGGGGTTTTATATGGTCACACATGAGGGGACAGAATACACCTTTCAGAGCAGAATTACAAGAGCAAGACAAGTAAGTTCTGTTAGCCTTGCAATTAAACATGCTTAGAACATTTGAATTAAAACCTAGAGGATACTGAAGTTAAAAAGATGAGAGAACAGCAGAGAAAAATTCTTGGTGGAAACAAATTCTTAAAAGGTGATGATAGAATCTTGAAACTTTTAGACACTCTTTTATGAGTTTATAGAGATTCCTATAATATCATCAATGCTTTTGCAATAAATAGAAGTGATAAAATATGCAAGCCAATAGACAAGAGTTACTGGGTTCTGTGTCTAATGATACTTTTGATGGCTTATTTCATTCTTTAACTAGCATTGAAAGATTTCTTTTGAAAGGTTGAAAGATTTATTGAAAGACTTATTGAAAGATTGAAAGCTCTTTTACCTGCATTTCAAAAAGTGGAAATAAAAATGATTTATTCACTAGGCCGATGAAGAACATAGTCGGGATATTAATGTTCACCATATGGAAAAATAAAGGGCTCACAGAGCGATCAGTAATTTCCAGACCACATTCCGGAGTTAAGAATGGCATATTCATTTTGTAACCTGGAAAAAAAAGAGGATCACAATTTATCAGAGAGGTCTGCCATGTAAAACATCGATGATGAATTTTTATGGATGTAAAATGATTTCACAATAAAACGCAAAATACAACACAAAAAAAAATATGAGTAAACATTTCACATTTTTATTTTAACTAAGCACAATTGAGGCACCCTATCTATCGACAAAACAGAAAAATTTTAATCTATACTGGATTTGGTTTTACCTACTATTCCAACTTTTGTATCTGGGCTACATTTCGTAATTAGGAGCGCTACAATTTCTGGCTCCATTTGAAAACATGTACCAATAGTTTCCTTGCGCACATGAGTATTTCTATGGATGAGACAGAAATTGAAGAGTTTGCCCATAGAAGGACGTCTTTGAAAAATATTTATTTGAGCAAAGCTTATTTGAAGCTTTGAGAAAGGGTTTTAGCGCATTTTGGCCTTTCATTCTGCATGGGAGCGTCAGATCATATAAACATGGCAGTGTGTTTCCAAAGAAGCACTGATGCTATATAATTGATTTTCAAAACAAGGACCAATTTTACATACCTGTGCAGTAGAGTATGGCATCAATGTGTGATGTTGATCCGTCAACAAAGTCCACAGAGTCATTATTCAGTCGCAGTACATCAGGCTTTTTAGTGACTTTTTCAGGGAAAACAATCTGGTCAATTGTTGGATCATGATGGCTTAAGTAGACCTGAGGTAAACCAACAAAAAATATTGTGCTAGATATTGTGCAATGTAAGCATAAGTGGTTACCTAGGCAAAAACATTTGATGTCGAATGCATAGCTAGACGGTGCTTAATGCAACTTCAATCACTAATATCTCTGCTTGTATGCATACAATTTGCTTAATTATTTGGCTTTAGGCCTAAAATAATCTTCAAGTCAACTCATTCAGTTTTAACAGAATGTGCGGAGAGCTTCTTATCTCCTTTTGAAGTTAAGGGGTTCCTCTGCAGGTTTTTTTTTTTCATCAAAAAACGTGATTTTTGGCAGAAATCAACAACTTTACAGGTCTAAAGTATTTTATACAAGTTGAATTTATTCTGAAGACAAAAAAGCATGACCTTGATATCATTTTCTAGCAAATCACATTCATAATCTCTTTCATTTGCTAAAAAAAAAGCTAAATAATGAGGCAGTGTTTGCAATAAAGGGTTTGATTTGCTCCATCATTTTTTTTTTTTTTTTTGTCACAAACATAAAAAACACGCACTGAATTGATTGAATTCAAGGTTTCATCATTAATGGCACAATCTTAAGGTATCTTTGTAGGAATTTTTTATAAAGCGATATATTTCTGAATAATAACAGAGTTTTAAGACTTCCTGTAATGGTATTTTAGACAAATCTACAGAATTTACTTCGTTCATATTTAAAAAGAAGAAGAAGAAAAAATTGAAAGTAAGAGCAATACACAATGATGATGACTTACATTTTGTGCTACATTTGACAGTTCAACACTTATATCTGTACCAGACGGCCCGGATCCAATAACTAGAACATTTTTATCCTTGTAGGCATCTGGTTTGCGGTAATGATGACTGTGCAACTGAAACCCAGAAAAAACATCCTGACCCTCAATTTTTATGTGATTTGGACGATGAAGATGCCTGAAAACAGAGGGAAAAAGAATGAGTAAAAAGCTACCTATTTGTAAAGCACAGAACTGAAGAGTCACATCTCATTCTTGGCACTACACCACGGATACAGATTAAATACTGGCCAATGAAATAAAAAGGAAAAATTAGGTGTTTCGTTCTAAAAAGAATCTATTAAAAAATGTAGGATTTTTCTGCACTAGAACTGAAAAAAGGGGGAGAGGGGAGAGGTTCAGCAACATCACAATAATGCAAATGTTTTGTAATGGAGATTTTTCATGGTCCAGATAAATGAACATTGAAAGATTTTACTGGTCTTAATGAATGTTACGGGGAGATTCAAATAGGTAGAATTATTGTCAGACTGAAGAGAGTTAAAAGACCTTCCAATAAATTTGCAGATTTAATTCTACAAGGTAATCTAAAAGTCCCGCACCACCACTTTTAGGGTTTATGCCCCTTTTCAGGGTGACCCCCTGAAATTTGGGGAGGGGGGGTCCCAAAAGTTGTTTCCTTTGACCTAAGAGCATTCTCAAAATTCAGGTCTCCACCTCAATTTGTTCTAAAGTCTTAAGGTTGATAAAGCGAGACTTCTGGATCTCCAAATCTGCTCGTAAATTACATTGAAAATACTTCCTCGTTAAAGGGTAAAAAAGAGTGGCGAGAACATTTCAAATAATAATATAATTAGAAGGAGTAAATCATTTAATATCATTTTCCTCTCATCCCTGTCTCATTGAAATGGACCAGTGCAAAGGAGCAATTGAAGTCATCAATTAAGAGGAAAGATCTGCGAGGAGAGATGCTCCCGAGTAAATTTGACCTTGACTTTAATAAAGACCTAGTGACATATTTTCAGCTCTGCCATTCATTCCTTTTTGACTCATCACTGATTGGGTGTCTGATCTTTCCATAAGATGCAAAAGTGTAAGCAAAGGAAGGATGAGTCTTAGTAGAACTCTGATTTTTATTTGTTCCACAAATAATATTGGTTAAAGTGCACGAAAAGCTGAAAAATTTAAGTTTATCATGCTTAGTTAATTTCAATGGTTCAAAAACACACTCCAAGCAAATCTTGAAATGAAAGGTAAGCAGATAATGTTATATACAGTCAGAATGTTTGCAATGGTGCCAAACCTTGCTGAAAATAAATTAATGTTAATGGTACCAAATATGTGAGCTTTTTTCATACCTAAGTTCTTAAAACTGAAAAATTACAGACAAGGGTTTGATATTGACTGGAATACCATGACCTACATTTTTCATACCGATTTTCAATAAGAAATTTTATTTCGTGAAGAGTAGTACAATTTTGGAAAATGGGGCTCACTTCCGGTCAGCAAGGTTCAAATTTAGAGAATTTTGAACATTTACGATGTGCTTAAGGAGCGTTTTGTGCAGTTTACGAAAAAAAAAAAAAAAAAAAAAAAAAAAAAAAAAAAACATATTCTGTTTAGTTTTAAGTTATTGTATTTCTTGTGTGCAACTTGCATACTAGGGCTAGTTACAATTTGGTGATTCCTTACCCATTGCATACGAATATTGCATCAAATTCAAACTGTTTCTCACTGTCTTTTGGTAAATCTGTTACTGTGATTTGCCATCGGTTGTTGGGTAATGGCATTACACTGGTGACATGATGGTTAAACTGAAAAAAGACAAAAACTATGAGCACATCATTTGATTAAGGGTGTAGAGATGTAAAATTTGCTTGATACGGAAACGTTGAATTGTAATGAAAAATGCATGGAAGCTAAAAGTAAAGAGTAAAACTACTGACATTATAAACTTGAATAATATAAAAATAAACTTTGAAAATAAGTTATTGCTTGAAATTTTCACAAAATATTATTCATAAAAAGAGGAAAAATCTGAGAAGATTTCAAGAAATGATGTCAAGTAATTTCCCATTCAAAAAATAAATTATGAAAAGAAGTTGGCAGCATTGCAAACCAAGATACACTTTTTTGCAGCATCACAATCAATATGTGATGAGGTTGTGGAAAAATTTCAAGTATTAAGTAACGCATTTTGGCGGACTTTTTCTATAAGATACTAGTGAGACAATATCCCTCTTGAAACATTACAAAGGAATTTCAGAGAAAGACATCAATATAACCACACCCTTTTTTGCAGAGCATGAGTAGCTATGCTACAAGGTTTGATTCTACCTTTTTTTAAAAACCTTGATTCATGATAAACAGATAATTGTCAGAATATATACCTACAGACAAACCTTTATTTTTTCAATAAGCTCAAAATGTTTAGCAAACTGTTCTAAGTAGCGAACTATGTCAGCAGCGTTTAGATATGAAATCCCTTCGTGAGTCTTGTCGTAGGGGAACCCAAAGTATTCCATCGTCTCTTTTGGCAAATTCGTTCTGCAATAAAGACAAAATGGGTTAAAAGAGGAGGCACATAGTTTAGCAGAGACAGAAAACTATGGAGAATACACTGATTCTTTTATCCTTTACTCCCTGCAAAATGTAAAAAATAAAAGGAAAGAAAATCAGTTGAATTAGATGCTTTCAAAAAAATTGTAACTAGGGTGGAAACAGTGCCAAATTACCACTGAGTTGGAATGATTTCCAAATATATTGACTATTTTTATTCAAAAGAATACAAACATTTGAAAAGAACAGAAAAATTGAATCTGAACTTAGATACTAAGAAGCAATTGCAAACCAATTTACGAATAAAGTTTTCCTAATGCTATTAGAGTCCCTTTATACCCAGACTTAAGACAACTCAATTTTGGTAGGCCATAGTGTCACAAAAGTGTGCAACCAAACAAACGATATTGAGGAATAAGGATAGAGAATCCTGCGATGTCTGTCATCCAAAACCAACAATATCAACAAAACTGATCAAAACCTAACGAAAAAAATTGCAATGAAATAAAATGAGATTGATTTATGAATAATTCCTTAATATATTTTCATTTTGATGCAATGTCTTGATGAATCACAATTAGGCTATGTTTTCATTAATTTTGTTCATATTCGAGCCACCAACTTGGTGCACACATTTGTGACATGAGCTAGAGCCAATCAGAATTGGATTTTTTTTAGGCCACTTTAAGCCCAACCAGAATCGAGATGTCTTACTGGGTATAAAAGGACTCTAAATGCTATGAGGGATAATGAAGTGGAAAAAATACCTAAGAGATTTGTACATGCTTGAATGGATTGGTAGACCATATTTATCCTTGAACTGTTCCTCAGTATAAACCCAAGTACCACCTACTGAGTCAGTTTGCTCAAATATTGTGAAGTCTGCCCCAGGCATGTCCTCTACTAGTCTGCGGCCAACGACCAGGCCAGCTGCTCCAGCTCCTATGACAGCAACTTGCATTGCTCGATCTTTTGATCACTGTTTTTACAATGAAAAACTAATATTAGATACAAAATTAGGACAAAATAATGTTCAAGTCAGCCAATTGAAAATTGAATCTTTCACAAGCTTTTCACAGTCACTACATTAAATGTATATTGATAAATTAAAGAACCTGAGATATGGTAATGTGATCCGAGGAAGATTTTATTAAAAAATGCGATATAAGTTGACTGATATTCCTGCGGAACTGTGAGGGCTCAAGATTTTAGATTATTAGATATCAATTATGATAGAATTAGAGGGTCAGTTAAAGGAGGTAGGATTAACTTCCTATTGAACAGTCATTCGCTTAACAATACTTAAATGACATGTTAGGGTAGTATCAGCTTAATGTATGAGAATGAAGCAATGTCTTGAGTGGATTGCATGGACTCATTTTAATCAAATAATGCCTAATGTGACACAGTGCTTGATGAGAACTTCAATGATATGATGCAATTACTTTGGATACTAAAGTCAGAGACATTTAAATATCTGAATTTTGAAGTACACTCACTGTTTCTGAAATATTAGAGTATTGTCAGCTCTTCTGAATACTTTGAAAAATAAGAAAGAGAGCATAATATGTTATGAAACATAGTGCATGTTGTGTCCATTTACAAAAAAATTATTTTCTCCTAAAAATCTAGACTAATTTTTAAGACCGGTTGATGATAATGCTATCTGACCTATTTGTTCCCTAAAGTGCTTTCAGATTTTGACAAACTCTGATTCCGATTCGGTCTTCATAGGTTTACTTTGGAATTCTGCAAAACTTCAGTGGAAGTGCGATTACTTACCAACATAAATTTTAGACGAATTAGCGGTTAATTTTAACTGAACTGCCCAAAGAGAGAATTTTTTTAAATTCAGAGGAAGTTTTTAATTAGTTTTGCATTCATCTTCAAGAGGATTTTAGGTTTTCTGTACTGCAAAGGATCAGAAAAATTTAGTGCTCACGTTCTTATCAGGGACGATTTAATATTACACTTTGTAGAGATTCAGCGAGGGTTTCTGAAGAGAAAAGTGTGAATCCTTTTCCTCAGAATCTGTGCGTTATGCCCAATTCACACTATCAAACTTTTCATTCAACTCTAGGATGCAATTTGTTGAATGAAAAGTTGCACAGTCTGATACAGATTAAAGAAAACGTCAATTTGATGAAAAATTGAACGGAAAAGTGAACGAAAAGTTGGAGCGAAATCTTCCGACTGACAGGAGCCGAAGCCGTATCTTAGAGAACCGCAGGCTGATGACGGTACCACACTGCAACGATAATTGAATCAAATTTTATTGCGTCCAACTTTCCATCCAACTTTTCATTCAATTGTGTCAGATGAAACGTTTGATGGTGTAAATTGGGCTTTAGGTAGTGTGATACTGGTGCGACAATTTGATAAAAAATTGAAGGGAAATTTGAATGTGACGTCACATTACCTTCCGTTCAATTATGTCAAATGAAAAGTTTGATAAAGTGAATTGGGCTTGGGTCAATGGATGATCTCTTTGGATAGAATGGAAGTACTTACGAGATAGGTGGTTACCTAGAATCAGAAGTTCATACTTGGGCAAGTTGAACTGATAGTGAGAGTGAGCAATGCGAACAATTCCACGCAAATACAGCGTCATGAATTGCAGAAACGATCTGCACAATGAATTCAACTACACCGTCCACTGATACGAGATTTCCAGACTGATAATTATTAACTAAACGATTTTTGTGGAGAGTGGAGACAAAAAAAGTAAAAAGTCGGGGGAACTACGAACCACGATGAGAGCAATTGGTAAAATAGGTTATGTTCGTTTGTTTGTTTTTTTAATTCTCAGTGGTGCTCCAGAAGAAAAATAAACGAGTGACGGAGGATAGTATGAGAATTTTGTAATGGTTTGGGCTTTGAAAAAATATAATATTGCAGAATATTTTATTATGGAATGCACAAGACTCATCGGGTTCATCTCAAGAGTGAAGTAACATGGGATTCAAAAAGAAATCCAAAACCAAATCAAAACCTCAGAGAAACTTGATTTTGAAGGGTTTGCAAACTTGTAACTTATAGCGCATAAATACGAATTAAAAGCGGGAAAGTTTAATATTGCGCTCTTTTCACGGAGGGTTTTTCGACTCTGAAAAAATATATCTTAGTCACTATGTTTCTCCTTGATACAGCAGTTTCGTATTTAACTTACATACCTTCCTCGAGCGAGTAAAATGGAAACTTGACATACATAGCGATGCGCACTACTATGATTTTTACATCACTTTGGTGGCTAATACAAATTTCTACGGGCAAGTGCTCTGCTCCAAAAAATTTCGAATGACAAAAAAATTTGATTGCTGTTTTATTTTTTTGATAAGTCTTTCCTATGCGATCCCAAAAAAAATGAAAAATTTAAAAAAAAGAATAAAAAATACATACAAAAATTTAAAAAAAGGAAATGTAATCGGTTGTATTACATTTGTAGGGAAAAGGGAAGAGCTAGCTAGATCAGAGGAGCGTGTATATACTTGAGAGGAACAAGGAGGCAAGTGATGGTGCGTAACCATAGATACATACATATTATGCAATATACAGGCGCAATCGTTCAAAGACATCTATTACCTATAATAAAAAAAAATTGCCCAATTTCACTGATTTTAAACGCGCTTACCTGTGCTGTTCTTGAAGTGACTGTAACCAGGGCCGGATTTAGGGGGTGGCCACATGTGCCGCGGCCCATGGCGGCAAATTTAGGGGGCGGCAAATTTGGCAATTTTTGTAAATGTAGCTATAAAGAAAAATCGGATTCAGAGAAAAAATTACAAACGAGAAAAAGTGACAAAATCTCTCGTTTTCCGAGAGGATATCTCTAATTTTGTCGTCTTCCTGTGATACAATAGACAGCACCTTTAATTAGTCGAGTTAAGACTAAGAGAGAAACCGAACACAGAATTTGGTCTGGAACGGCGCGCGGCGCGGTGTAGAGAGCAATGATGACGAGAACTTGAGATGAACAGGAGAAACCCTCGGCGCGGCGGTCGGCATGTAACACATATTAGCGCCTACAAGACTTTATTAATACTTCACGCATTGCGTCAGACAGTACGGTCGCTGCGATCAGCAGCGGGCGGCGCGGCGTGGAACGCATAGCGCCTACAAGGCTGCATGAATACTTCACGCATTACGTCAAACTTAGTGCGTGCAGCAGCGGTCGGCGTGAAACGCATATCGCATACAAGACTGTAGGAATACTTCACGCATTGCGCCAAACTCAGTGCGGTCAGCGCGGCGCGGCGGCGGAAGTTAAAATTATTAAAGCACATTTATGTTTGTTTTTTCATAATATTTTCGTTCATATCATGTAAATGGAAGGCCTTGTCCACACAGAGAAAGGTTTACGGAACTTAACTTTTCAAAAACTAAAAAATACATACAAAATTTAAAAAAATACAATACAATCAGATGAAGAACATGTATAGGCAAACAAAAAAATTGTCCGATTTCACTGACTTTAAACGCGCGCTTACCTGTACTGCTCTTGTACTGATTTCGCAGGCAAGTATTACGGTTTAAAGTTTTAATAAACAGAAAAAAATCACTTACAATAAAAAGGGAAAAATTTAGTGGTGATTGAACATTGTAATAATTAAAAAAATAAAAGGTTAAAAATATTGATTAGTTTTCAACCGAGTCAGTTGTGATAACCTGGAAGAAATGATAACGGAAAAACAATCACGCGCGAAGAAGACTGGGAGTTGATTAGGTGGTTCATTTTTCCAATAATTTAGTCACAATTAAAGTGCTTCTACGTTTCCTCTTAATCACTCCTTAATTTGTCAGTAGTAGACGTATCCACTAATCTTCTTCGTTATCGATAGTGACGGGAGACTTCCAGATGATGACTACATCACAGCACCATCCTAAGGTACCTTATAGAAAAATAAAATTCTGTGATTTCTCAACTGTTTTCATTAGGTATCACGGTTGAATGGACAAAACAAGATAAATTTCCCATTTTTTTTGTTGATTTTTGTTTTTCAAAGTTTGATTTTATAACTTTGACATTTGATCAATATTCATCGAAAAATGTATTAAGTTGCTTCAGTTTTAACTCCTCTCCTTCCTTTCCAAAATAGACGCCTGTGTTCCTTTCAAGCATTAAATTCAATTAAGACGATAAATAGACGTAACGCACACACACAAGCGCAAAAATTTAGGCTCGGCTCGTTTTCTTGCAACGGTGGTAGTGCAAATTCGTGACGGTAAGACTATTACCCTGGTAAAAATTGGCAGTAGAATTTGTGTTCCAAAATATATGTACCTACTATAGACCTAAAGTCGGTTGTAAGATTTCCAATAGCGTCTGTAGCCGGCTGTACAATGTCTTATAGCTTTTTGTAGCCGATGGCGACTAAGCAACAGCCAGACGATAAAGTTTATACTAAACGTTACTAAATACGGATACCAGGACTTAGTTAGTTTTTGGACTACCGCTCTCTTTTTGTGCCGTAGTATCTTGATTTATTTTGCGAGGAAAGCTCCGTACTTTTGAAGGATGCCTGTCATTCTTAATATGTTGGAGCGCCTTCAATTTCTTGTGATACTGTGCAATACCTCTGGTGTGAAATAGTTGCTTCAGACGCCGTGGCACGCTGCGGCGCGGCGGGCGGGCAGAGAGCGCGAAACGCGCATTGGCGCCTACAAACCTAACAGGGATACTTCACGCATTGCGCAATGCGTGAAGTATCCCTGTTAGGTTTGTAGGCGCCAGTGCGTCGCCGCGCAATGCGTGAAGTATCTCTGTTAGGTTTGTAGGCGCCAATGCGTCGCCGCGCAATGCGTGAAGTATCTCTGTTAGGTTTGTAGGCGCCAATGCGTCGCCGCTCCGCTTTGTGTTAGGCTATAATATTTAATCTCGCGGAGTCAGCGTTTTTCAACTCATGATTTTGAAATGTTTGCACACTCTGTATGGACCATCTCATTTTAATTGATGAAAAAACAATATGTTTTGAAGGAAAATATAATGTAAGTTTTGTCAATAGTATAGCCCGGCCATATGATTTGCTCCGCTTTCTACAGCCAGCTATATGATTTTCAATAGCCTCCTTTAGTCGGCTATAAGAACTCCTATGGTATTTTGAAACGCAGCTCGTATCGCCAATTTTTACCAGGGTAAATTGCTGTTTAATGAGAGCCCGCAAAAATACGGCGGTAAACAGGGAGCAAGGCTCAACTTATCTTCGTCCGTGCGCTGGATCGTCATCTATCTCTCTCGCACTAGTTAATCAGATGCGGCACACAGTGGAACGAGCTAACAGGAGAGGTCGGATAACATTTGGAAACTTTAAACGTTCATAACTACGATTGTACAAACTTTGAGTTTCCAAAATTGGTTTCATTGGTTTTCCCCTAGAGGCACCCCTTGATGAACTTTAAAATGTGACAAAATAAACATTAAACTTCGCAGTTTTTGTCAAACATTTCACGTCCGACCTCCCTATTAACTCGATCCACTGTGCGGCTCCTTGTCGAAAAGAGGATGCTAGTATAAGGAAATTCTTGAAGGTCGGATCTTGTCAAGCCGTCCACTTGCTCAATTCTGAGGAAAGAGCTTATCATTTTGTTTGGAGTCACATCCATTGTATGGTCTCCCGAATTAAAATTTCAAATTTTTGTTGATAATAGAGCTTTCCCCGACCACATATTACTATGCGTGTACCGCGAATTATCAACGTCATAGGACCTTGAACGGGACTGTGCGCCGATCACAAGACCTCTCAGTGTCTTTACCCCGGAAAAGTAGATGAAAGCGGAAGGAAATAATTGAAATACATACAGAGGCGATAAGTGTCAATGCAATAGAAAAATCAACGGGGAATGAATATGCCCTTGGTTCGTTCAGCTAAAGCCAGCTATTTTCTGGATGCGAACTTTCATCCGTTTGATGAGCTTACGTGTGATTCGCATTTTGTGAAGGTTAAGCAATAATTTTACGATAGACTTTGATTCGATCTGAGAAAACCCATCACGTTGAACATACTTACCTTTTTAAAGATTAGGTATGAGTATGACCCAATAATTTTCGGTGGTATTGATTGATGATACTTTTACTTGATTTAAAAAGTTTAAACATAATTAGGAATATATTCTCCGTTGGAGTTCGGTGAAATAAACGCCAACTGCTATAAAATGGTCGTTATATACCAGTGGCCAGGCGTGACTGATCGATTTTCGATATTTTTCCATTTGAAGCTGTGGTAAAGAATCGATTATTAAGGTGTTCATTGGAAACCCTGTCTATCGATCCTTTCCCATAGGTTTAAATGGTAGATCAATCGATATATCGCAAAACACGCCGCGCAACTGTACTAGATGAACGAGGATGAGACGTATGACAGAGGCGCAAGGCGGAAAGCAGGATTTAATGGGCTCAAACCCCAAAGTTTTGGGGAGCTCCGGGCTCTGAAAATTGTTGCGGTTCTAAAGCGGCACATTGCTGGGAAGCTAAAAATAACCAGTAGGAAAAAATAATATCATCCCCACCCCCATCCTTACATCCATGAACTAAAGTATACAATTGAAAATGCGTAGCCGTGCGCAGTGCAGACATTTTCGTTGGATTTAAAGTGATGTTGATTTTACTTGTCAGCGTAGAAAATCTATGTTATAAAAAATCACTATGCTCAACTTCGTATAATCCGATCCTGCGTCATCTTACAGCGTGACGATTTATTCAACTCTCTGATCGTCCATCCTTTATCCCCCTTCCAACACTATTTTACGCGAGTTTCTTAACAGCCGTAACACGCGAATGCAGCGCATCAACTGCGCGAGGTCGTTTACTGTTTTAATTTTTTTGCCATTTAGACGACACATAATTTTTTTGATTTGAATCTCTCTGTTTTTAACTAGGGGGCGTGCCCGTGCGGGCGTGCCCCCTGACCGCTTCGCAGTCCAACCCTCAGAGGCGCTTCACGCCTTACGCGTTATGCGTTAGGCGTTACTCTTATGGTTTTATGCTACGGAGTAAGATGTGCGCATCATCAAAGGAGGCAAAAAAAACGCATCTCTAGGTCTTAGTCCCGATAATCCCGAAATATACGGACGGTGTAAGTCGGCAATCACATAACTCGGCTTGTGACGGCGCAGACTTCCTATCATACTTTATCTTTTAAATGGAAAACTACTCAACGGCAATTCTTTAAAACTGCCGTGATTTTTCTTCTCCGTGCGAAGAAAATTCTACAAAAATTTCAAGGAATGATGTCAATTTGTTCTACTTTAGAAAATTAACATAGAGGCGGAGATTTTCAGACACCGCAAACGAGATATGTGATTGCGGACTTACGCCGTCGATACGTAATATACCCGCTAAATTATACTAATTGTGAGGCATTCTCAGTCTATGGTGAGATTTGGACAATTTTGTGCCTTTTTGCTCGGGGAACGAAATTCAGTTCAAACTGAACACAAAATTTGATCTTGTTAACCGACGTTTTTGGTGTAGAAAACGTAATTTAATTCAGGCAACCAACTTTTTCCTGGCCATGCGGAGATTCGTATTAATTACCTAAGAATTCATTTATCTGAACCTAGTATGGTTTTACCTACTTCGGTTACCCAAACCAACAACTTTGATATCCGATAATAGCTCGACTGCATTTTGCAATAAGAAACCACTGTGTCCAGCTCATCCATAAAATCACCTATCTGTGTAGGGTGGCTAATTGTGAATACGCTGTCTCTAAAATGAGCCGGAAATCTAAGAAGTCCCATTGCAAAATATATGGTCCAATAGGCCAAAGTTCAGTAAAACAGTCAAATCTACATTGCAGTGATTTAAAATCTCATCACTAATTTTTATTTGTCGGAATAAAAGTGACCAACATCAATGGTTAAATTTTTGTGAAAATCACCTTCATATGGGTAAGAGGAATTGCATCGACTTTCGAGTGAGGATTTTCAAATAGAGCTTTTGAGACACTGCATTGTAAATGTGACTATTTGAACTGTGAAACAAAACTTCAAAAGCATCCATTAAGCACAAATAGTTGCACAAATGCGAAGAATGCGCGTATCTTTTGTGCTTCAGTTTTGATGTAGCAATGTGCATAGCATGATTTGTAGAGCAACTGCTCATGCCTAAAAGATGTCTTCGTGCAATAAACGAAAAATTGAAGGTGCCCTTGTTATAATTCATCCTCGCAATACAGTTTGCTGCCGCGCCACGGATGAAGCGGTAAGTACCGGCTGGAGAGCCAAAACGCCTTCATCTCCGTGTGGATACAACACGGACATCCGTGGAGCTCGAATAGTTGTATCCAGGCGTTATAGTGAAATTTGCTCACAATCAGTATTTATCGCATGTGAAACTAACTCAGCGTGTTTTGCGTGATTTTCTTGTGTCTCAACTTAATTTCAACGTCACCCATAACACCGATGAAGTAAACTATTACTGATTTTCATCGCGACATTGACAATTTTCATCAAAATGCATTGATTGATAAAATGTATTACAACGTTGATGGTCCTCGAAATTGCAAACAACGTAGGCATCCGAGCAAGATTTGTAGAGTTTCCCTTGACCCACATTAAAGAGTCATCCTGCGTTTGAATTTTATCCCCGTTTTAGAAAAATACTTTTTTTCTCTTTTATAAGTAACATATTTTATTTGTTTTTTTACAAATTGGAATGGGGCCGACAGCGGCTCCACCCGAAATGGAAATAATCGTGTTATACACTTACGACGACTTTCTTTTGACGTTGAATCGCAAAATTTTCAAAGATCAAATTTTCTTGAAATAAAATTTCTTGAAAAATTTCTCTACATTTTTTTCGTTTAGGGTCTTACAATTTTGAGGTGAAACTCAACCAATACGTTACACGCAATTGTGTTTTAGATCAGTATCTATTGGAGTGATGTCCTAAAATGCCATAATCTCAGAGACGCCCCAGTGCTTCTCTCCGCCGTCGATTTTGTTTCAACAACGCAAGCACCTATGAGCCAAAGACGACTTGGTGCGAGAGGCGTGCGTCCCAAAATCAAAGAGACCAACCCGACCGCAAAAAATTCCTGAACGTGAGACTCGAGCGCTCAAAACTTCGGGATTCTCAGAGTCAATATCCACATTTACTTATGCAATACGAAGAGCAAGACCATTGCCAACTCTCCCAACCCAGAGAATCTGTTTACTTACGGACTGCACAAAGTGCGGATAGCCCCACTATCAGCGCCGGGCTAGGAAAACAATTTCTTATCACGCGAAGAAGAAGCAAGAAGGAAGAGAGGAGATGCAAGGACCGACAAATGGAGACAATAAAAAAAAAAAAAAAAAAAAAAAAAAAAAAAAAAATTGAAGGCGCTCCGAACAAAAGTGAATGAATTAGCCGCAAAACTCTTTATACCCGCGACGAAGCGTTACCCCCCCCCCCTTCTCCTCGCCCCCTCTCCCACTCTCTTTCCTCTATAGTACTCATTTCGACGACTAGTTACTCATCTCGCGATCGGACCGAATATTACCGTGGGATCTCACCTTTAGTTCCGCTGGCTGGGTTCACCCGTCATCGCCGGGTCGTCTGCTGGGAGTCTTATCACGACCGTTGTCTTATCAGGACCGTTGTCTTATCACGAGTGATGCTGTTGTCTTATCCTGATAGTTCCGTTTCGTAATCCGAGGCTGGAATCCAAAATAGTTCGGTTTTCGACCATGTGCAACCTCTACCCTATTGACTTCCTCGTATGTCGATTGATTTTCCTAAAAATGTTGCTGGTAATACGGTGAGAACGTCCTCTACCCACGTGTTTACTTTAAAGGTATTCTAAAATTATCATATAGTTACCGTATTTTATCTGAAAGTTTCTGTGAAAAAGTGATATCTTGTGACCCAATTGCGGTTTGGACTCGTGATGGATATTATTGTCGGTTGTTTTAATAGTGCGTGTGCGAAATATATGGCATTCGTTTAAAATGCTCAGTTTGTGTGTTCAGTTCGTCCTGTTGTGCGTGTTGTATTTTGCGCCCGTGAAGGGTGTCTTCCAATCATTAGGTAATTCAGTTTGTTTTTGTTTTTTTATTACAAGGTTTCAACTTCGTAAAATGTCTCACCCTGTCATGGTGTAAATCTATACACCCCGGAAGGAACCAATATTTCGAGGGATATTGCCAGGCGATAGATATTAAGTCTCTTGGAGTGATTGGGGCAACGTGAATGCTGAATGCGACGTTACTTTTGGGACGGAAAGAAATATTTGTGGAAAATACTGATATGGTATCCTCGGAAAATATTAGTGTCAATATTGTCGAGCGATAGATATTTACAGGGAATATTGATACTATATCCCCTGCTTATAGTAATACTGAAAATTAACAGTCAGGCCGAAAAAAACCATTAGCACTGTTTTTTTTTTGCCAATATTGGCCTGCAGTATTAGTACAATATCCCCTGGTCCCTGGTCATACGCAGTCCTGTCTCAAGAAGATTGTTGCTGCAACATTTCCTATCGATGTTGCCAGGACTTGGAGGATGCTGAACTAACGCTGGGCAATATCCGTTTAGGTCCAGTTACACGATCAAATTGAGCCATCAAATTGGGCCTCTCATTGGTCGCATCCTCACCTCAGGTCTTTTTCCACCAATCAGAGCTTCAATTTGATGGCTCAATTTGATCGTGTAACTGGACCTTTTATGGGGGGAGCCTTCCTCCGAAAATACAGGGAGGTTCTTCAGACAGCATAAAATAAATGACCACATCTCTTCATATTTCAGCACGAATTATTAATCGAATGAGATAACAGTTTGTCGTAATCTCATCTTATATTAGCCGTCATCAAAATACGAGCAAATGGGGGGGGGGGGGTCAACGACCTGCAACACACCATTGGTCAATCAGAGGGCTGAGGATACCATCGATGACCATTCAGGTTGCTCTTAATTGAACCGTACACCTAAGAAGCATTTTGCAAAGAAAAGTTGCAACTTGCAAGAAAATTGCACTGATCTCATTGGAATTATATTGCAATTTCAATGCAATTTGTCTGCAACTTTTTGCCAAATCTTAGTTGTCAGATTGAATAAAATGTGACTTCTTGTGTGACAATCTGCGTGATTCTTGTGACAAAAATGTAAATAAAATTGAAATGAAAAGCAAGCAATACGTGAATTTTTACACTCGCTTGAAAAACCCGGTTAGCTAGGCAACACGAATCTGATACAATTTTATTGCAGTTACTTACGTAATTTTTACTTCATAATTTAATTGCAACATCTGGCACACAAAAAATTGCAATAATTTCGCATTTTAGTGCAATTTTTCCACAAGTGTACTGCAATGTCTGCGCAAGGCGTGCTACTTGGAAAAAAAGAACCTCAAACGAACAATCTCTAAATCGAGTTCACCCAAGCCATTTAATACTTACGTATAGCTTACATTGAAATGGTTTGTGCGTCATAACAATTTGCCCTCGCTCAATTTGCGTGTTCTTTACCGCACATGTTCGTTAATTACACAACGTATAATTTAAAATCTCCTCTCCAAAGGTCTCACCGCGAGCTGTAGATATGTAAAGAGAATGATTCACTATTAAACGCGAACGTTAAAAATGTACACTAATTTGCATTTCCATCGAACAAAGAATGACCGAAACTCTCTCATAGAAATTAATGCGAAAAACGGGGAAAATCAGCTAAAATTGGAAAGTATGAACTCATTTTAGACTGAGAATAATGATTGCGTAAATTAAAATGTTTCAGTAATGCTGCCGTACTAAGGAAAAACGCCGTATGAGCCTTCAGGCGTTGCCAAATTTCCTTTAATAAATCACGAATTTTCGGGAAAATTTGTGAATGTTTTTCCTCCAATTTTTCAGATAATTTTGTTCGAAATTTCTCCTAAATTTCCTGAAAATTCCAGGGAAAAATATCCATAGCTTTCTTCCAAAATAAACATTTCATCGAAGGAAATTTGGCAACTCTCGAATGTTCATACGGTGTTCTTCCTTAGCACGGCAGAATGGGTCTCCAGATAGGTTATGGATTAAACGATTAAAAACATTTATCGATGGCCAAAGTGCGAAACCACGTATCTCCATTGCAGTATTTCAAAATTTCATCTCTCATGTTATTAATTTCGGAAAGAAACAAGTCAGCTTCATACTCATATAGCTTGAAATTGATACAGAATATTCTGCTAACAGAGAAGAAAACTAAAGGAAGTTTTCAAGGTATTACGTTGACTAATTTTTCAAAGAAGAAATAGAGGACGACATGAGGTCTGCAAACAGAGATACGTGATTTTGCACATTGATAATCGATATAGGACAATACATATGTGCAGTGCACTTCACCCAGTCCTGATAAGAGTCCAGGGAGGAAAACAGATTTAGTTAGAGTCACAAAGTGTAAGTTGAGCCTTGTTAGTATGTATTGTTAGGGTTCTCGTAACTTCTCTAGCTGTTACGACGGCTGTTACGGCTGTTACGGCTGTTGCTCAGAATACTGTGTCCAAGCACCCTCGAAGTTATTAGAATTCCCTCGGTCTAATTCTAAATAGCCTACTCGCCATTTTTAGCGGGCTGGAACTAATGGAACTACAACTTACAACTAATGGACAAATTCTACAAACAAAAAACTATTACCAAACGCAACTGACCTGACCGTGCGCTCAAAGGCCAGAGATGAAGAGCACCAAAATTCGTTGCTATACTCTAATGAGGAGACGGAGTCTGTTGCCGCCACGAAGAAGAAAAAAAGAGAACGGGCGCTCTATGCGACAATATGACAATGACCTCGCCTTGTGATGGTCATTGAGAATTGAGAGAGTGCGCGTCGTCGTCAGTTCACTGCGTCGTTTATCTTCTGTAATACACGTCAAAGCGTCATAATCAAGTCTTTGCATGATAATAATGGGTCAGTATGAACGAACAGCCGTGGACAATAGACATTTTGTCCCCAAAAGTTAATGGAACAGAGAGGAAATACTCGCCTTTGGCTATGACCACTTCGAAAGAAGGCAGGAGAGGAGAGAAAAGAGGTTTGTTATATCTCAATGGGGGAGGGTGGCTTGGAGGGATAGGTGCATAAGTCCAGTTTTTGCTATTTCGAGAAATGCCTGTTCGCACTGGTAAAAAAAACCTCTTGGTTCAAGAGTGCAGTTTCTTGTCGCCGGATTTAAGAGTCTGGACTCTTGTTTCAATGCAAAATCCGCTTAAATCAATGCAAAATCCGCTTGAAACAAGAGTTCAAGACTCTTGAATCCGGCGACAAGAAACTGCACTCTTAAGTCAACGCAATGCGACATTGGTCCAAGAGGTTTTTTTTTTTTATCAGGGCGGAGTTTCAAAATTACATGGATCCTTTGGGCGGGAAAAAAGTTCAAACTGACTTTTTGATGCTTAAAAATTGGAATTTAAGAGCGAATGTTTCACAGAATATGCATGAAGACTAGTTTTACTTGAATTCATTAGTATCTTAATTCGTTCAAAAACTGCACTTATGCGCCTTGTCCTCCAAGTTCTTCAATGCTATACGAGAGAACTTTGCACGTGTATTCGACTTTGCAAATATACTGCCAATAAATGAAACAAATTCATAATTCTTAGAAAAGGCACGAGTGAATCACCCTTAAATTGGAAGTTAAATCACAGAAAACTGAAATTATTTAAAGAATGCAGTAGGAGGAAAAATTTACAAACCCTTGAAAATATTTTTGGTTTGCTCAACTGTGCGTAAAAAAATTGTAGTCTTTTTACCGAACTCTATTTCGGAACTGAAACTCGAAAATCAGGTTGTGACCTATTCTAGAAACAGAATTACCGGACCGGTTCTAACTCTGAAACCAATCTAAGAACCAAAATCAAAATCGGTTTCAGGCATACTTCATGGATTGAACTAAAATTAGATTAAGATTAGTCAAAAAAATCAGCTGCGGTTCTCATCTTCATGAGATGCGACTATTCGAGCCAAGGATCTGTCTTTGCCTACTCGCTAATTTGAAGGAGAACCACGCACTCGGAGGAGTCTCGCATCTCGCTCATCTTTGCGTTGACAGAGAGAGTTGTGCGCCTTCAGAAAACAGCTGTGGTATACTCATCTTCGTGGGATGCGACTATTCGAGCACGTGTGATCTATTTTTGCCTAATCGGCGAATTGAAGGAGAACCACCTTCTGTTGCTCGATAGGAGTTCGGTTCTTTGGCAGAGAGAGATAAGCGCCTTCATTTCATTGATCGGGCAAAACACACACCCTACACGGCGCAATAGTTGCATCCTTGAAGATTCACTCAAATGTATGCCAGGTTTCGTTAGTGGGAGCCACGTGGCATACTGTGCTGTTCTGCCGTGCTAATGAAGAACGCCGTATGAACATTCGAGAGTTGACAAAATTCCCGCGATAAAATATTTATATTTGAGGAAAGTCACGAATATTTTTCCTTGAAATTTTCAGATCTTTTAGATTGAATTGGGAACAAAATTATCTGAAACATTGGCAGAAAAATATTCACAATTTTACCTGGAAATGCGTGTTTTATCCAAGGAAGTTTGGCAACGCCTGAAGGTTCATGCGCCGTTTTTCCTTAGTAAGGCAGTGTTGTGCCAGGGAAAAAACGAATTCACGCCTATTTCTCATTTATTTTTTTGCTTTTGTTCCTATCAATCAGTGCAAGTCTTGATTTTTGTTGCAGACCCTTTGGAAGTATTCCGTGATTGTAATTACACGACTCGATGCGAAGGTCTCTTCGGTTTTAGCGATTGCAAGAATGGGAAGTGTGAGTGCAGGAATGGTTTCTACTTCGCTAATTTGGGAGGTTTCCCATTTTGTCAAATATGTCCAAGTAAGTAACAAAATATGGTACACTACCGAAAAACAAGTTACGGGCTATATAGACATACCGCCCGTTCCGGACTAAGAAGACGAGAGTTCTGGGTGCTGGAGCCGTAGTTTCGACTGCCCCGGGTGCTACGCCCGAAACTTTCGGCCTCTGAACCCGGAACGCGATCCGCGGCCGGAGTTTTTTTTTCCGTGTTGTTTAACCCGGACAGTGACGCAACCAGAAAGTTTTCATGGAGCGGGGGTTTAGGGTAAAAAAATTTTATGGGGGGGGGAGGGGGTAAAAAGGTAAACCTACATGCCTACATGAGTGATAGGAGGTTCTCATGCGATTACTTTCTTTGCTTAGTTTCGGTTGCGCTGTTCCCTCGAAGTTTGAGGAAGCAGGTTTGGTTTTTAATACATATACCGGATTTGAAAATCTGGCATATGAATAAGAATCTGGAGTGAGATTGTGATGCAACGAACGATAGTTATTAAAAAAGAGAGGGAAAAGAGGAGGCAAAAGAAGGCTCGTCTTTAAGTCGAAAGATAATACCCACTATAAATAAGTGTCACATGGGGTAATTGAATTAAAACGACTGACAGATAAGATTGACTACAAAGTCAACTCGTTGAGAGCAATGAATTTTTACTCAGCAGTCTCAATGTGGTACAAGAAATTACCGAAGAAATGTCCAAACAGACTCGAAATATTATTCATCTTTTTCAAGAAGAGGCCTTGAAGAAATGTACCGTCTCTTATGAGTTTCCTGGCCTCCTCCTGCGAATAAGCCCGAACAATCGTGGAAAAAAAAATGAACACGATTTCTCGTGGTGTAATTCTACTCATACGTATCATTTATTATACTCAGAGCGTATAATTTTCCCAAAAACTTTGGAGCTGCACCGTACTTTTTAAATAAAAGTTTTATGTGTTGTTTATGGAGTCACACTGAGCATAATGTCCTCTCGGGGTTCTCATTATATACTAAAAATCAATAAAAATATATGTGAAAAAAAGGCCATTCTAAAATTATATTGAATGAAACTGAATCATTTGAATTTCAGTCGAAATAAAATGACCCTTCTTTGGAGAATGAAAATCAGTTGTGGCAAAGTATCCTAAAAAATAAAAAAGATTCAAGAGATTTTGTTTTCGTTGAAACATAAATAATAGCAAGTTTGAGACTGCTCCACATTGATGGAGATAAGGGAAATAGTATGAGTGAATAGACTAAAACGATAAAACTACGGATTGATGACCCATTGACATGCTTTCACTATACGAAGCCCTCCCTGTTAATCTGGACTAGTGATCTTATTTGCATGTATTATCTGCTGGTTTCATCTTGCCATATATTTTTCACATTTCTCAAACTTTGTTTGTAATGTGAAAGGGTTGCGAAAGAAAATTCTTATAAATAGATTGTTTTCTTCTGAAAGTTTTCCCTTGTTTAAGAAAGAAAATAGGTTAGCAGAGAAGGTCTGACCTAGAGAATGTCCGTCCAAGTAAAAAAAATAGCGAGATGTTCCACGAACAGTGTCACATGTGATATCGAGAACATGTTTCCCTTTATGGTTAAATAATCGTCGTCTTTGACGATATACTTCACGATATACTCACTTATTATTTTGATGTACAATTTTTACTCGTTTATTAGAGTGCTACAACTAACGAGTCAAAGGAATCCCTGAAGAACTGAGAAAAGCGAGAGTGCCTTCAATTTTGAACATGCAACACGCACATCCGTGGAACACGAATAGTTGCATCAAGGCGCTACAGCCAACTCAGTCCATAGAGTCGCCTCCAATTTTTGAATCCAAGCCATCCAAAATACTGGATATATAATCAAATCTATTCATAAAGCATTAAACTCTTTGGAGAAACATAAAAATAAACTGTAAAATGTATTCAAATGACCTGTAAATTGTTTTGATGCTTTGGAGCTTCGTTCAAAATCTCGCAAATAATTCATCAGAACGCGGCCAATGGGGAAATTCGTCGATCAGCGTGTGGATTGCATTCAAAATTAACGACTGGCCCATTGACGTAATTTTCAGACTTCTAACCGGCCAGTCCGCGCGGACTGGCCCAGTCCATGAAATGGGTAAGAACATGGTTTAGCTCGCGGATTGGGCAACAGGGGTGACCTGTTCACAGAGGGGACGAAAAGGGCAATTCCACAATTCCGCCAACGAGGAGTAACATCAGTACCCTAAGACCAGACGGTACATATCTAACTTCAGTTTAGCCATTTCGAGATATACCGAGGGAAAACCGCGCGCCAGCCCAATGTTGGCATAGTGTGGAATAAAAAAATGGACACTACATGGTTTTAAATGATAAAAAGTGCTGATTTTTCAGTACTATCTGGCAACAATGCGTCGGCATCATTGAGTTCGATGTGAATCGCAATTTTTGAGATTTCGTACTCATAACTGGCGTGAGATAGGGCCACCAAATTTTCGACACGCAACACGAAACCGTTTTTGGATATTTCCAAAATGCCACTCTCTAGATTTTTTTCCAGTAATGCAAGTTAAGTATCTTTTGACTCCAGGGCACTGATGTAGTCTCTTAAATTTTTTGCACTATGATGTTTGAAAATCGGTAATTTTTTGTTTCCAGATTTTGGGGACAGGTGTGATACAGCAAACTGCTGTCGGCACTCGGACTCCGTCGCGTGCATTGATGGATTCTGTAGGTGCAAAGATTCTTCCATGGATTCGTGTTTGTGAGTTTCCTTCGTTTAATTTTTTTTTTTTTTTTTTCCATCATCATCAATTCGGAAAAAAACGGAATGAAAACGGACGAGAGATGGAGAGCTTGCAAAGGAGATTTTAGACTTGCTTATAATCCTTGATTGGGTTCCTTCTGATGCCGGGAAATTCCTCGGAAGAGACAAAGAAGGCTGGTGGCGTGGCGTGCTTTACGATTTATCGATTGATCTCTCATTGAAACCTATGGAAAAGGATCGATAAACGGGGCACTCGCGACGAACACCTTAATAATCGATTCTTAAGCTTCAAATGGGGAAATATCAATAATCTATCATTTATGCCTCGCCGCTGAAGAGAACGCCCAGTGACCGGATAGCCAAAAGGAGGTTTTACATGAAATGAGTGAGTGTCAACTCCTTGAAGGGCTTTGAGGGGATATATCCATTCAGACGCTCTTTGTCGCTATGCGAGAGCGGCTTTTACGTACGTACGCACTTGAAGAAAAATCCGCAAATGTCCTCATGGAGGGCCATTTTGTCAGTGTATGATGGGTGAAAATTGACCACAATAATGGGCAAATTGGACAAATTTCTCTGATTGACGTATCTTTCCACTTGTCAGAGGCTTCTAATTGATCCTCCAGACTGCAAAAATTGTAGAAAAATAGTGTAGTATGCTAGTAAATGCCACATATACGATGTGCTATTTTTTAGAGAAAAATGCGTCAAAAATCCTGTTCATCCTCTCATTTTTCTCTTCCGTATTTACTGACTTCTTTACGTGATATTTTCAAACACTGATTAATTACGAATTTTTTTATTAGAGTTTTTTGGTAGGTACAGCTTTCATACTCTTGAAAATTACATCACCTTTTTTACGAGGTATTTTACAAACTGTGCTACCAAAGACTTGGCTTTCTTAAATACAATACAATTCTTCACTCGTTGGGATATTGTGCTGTCAAGTTTTTTTGGGTCATTATTGTTTTTTTTTTAAAGATTGAATAATTCCTACAATTTCTAAGACGAAAAAATGAAACAATAACACATTGAGGTTCTGTGTCAATAACAAAAAAAATGAAAATAAAATAAAGCACACACGCTCGAATTATGTGAGACTTATGAACAATACATCATTATGGAAGAATTCTCCTCCTATTTGTAAATTATATCTTCCATCGATTCAAGTGTTTAGTTTACCCACTTGCTTTGACGTTATGACAGAGGTTTTGCGGATATATTGTAAGTGCATTATTAATTGCAGGCAAATGTATTTTATTGAGTGAAGCTGAAAAGTCTTGTGTGATGAAGAAGGATAGTAGGAGTTCAAGCAGAATACTTATTGATGAATCATATTCTAGAAGAAATCACTTAATTATCTGATCGACTATTTTAATTCTGAAACACACACTCACATTGCGATTCATGTAAACATGTTTTTTTATCACTTTCCTTTATAAAAATTAGGCGTAGTCATGCATAAGAGGTTGACATAAATTATACCCATCAAAATAAATTTCTCTTACCTATACAAATGCGCACAATTATTTTTGTAGTAACAAAAAAAGAGAAACGTCACTCAAATTATCATTGAAAACCCGTCTTTTTTTATAGATGTAGAATTTTGAATAAAAAAAGAACTGAATACCAACAAGTATAATATATGTTTCAATTTTTATTTTCATTTATCTTTCAGGCACTTTGAGCAAAGCACTGAGCTAATGATAGCTGCAAAATTAGCTCTCTTCGGTGTTATCTTAGTATCTCTTGCAATTTTGCTCATGGTTTTACGGAGGTCTTGTGGCGGGTAAGTTGTGACTTAGAACTCTAACTTTCTCTAATAATTCGATTTACGTTAATGTATTTTTAAATGAATAGTAAGTCTAACTCGTCAAAAATAATTAGACAAAATCCAAAAATAGATGTGCGTTTTAACATTTACTTGATCAGTGACCCTAGGATTTGTGACGTTAATTTTTTGAACATGACCAATTGCCCGTGCGGAAGTTAAATCTATGATTTTCTCGTCGGTCGGAATAGGCAAAAACTTGGACTCGTTTTAAGCAGTGGCGTGGCGTGAATTGCGATGCATCGATTGTTTTGCCATTTAAACCTATGGTAAAGGATCGATTTTTAAGGTGTTCCATGCGAATCTCCTGTTTATCGATCCTTTTCCATAGGTTTAAATGGCAAATAAATCGATAGATCGCAAAGCACGCAACGCTACTGGATTTAAGTACTTCAAAGCAGAGCCTCTGATGCTGAGAGCATGAAGTACTCGCAATCAGTCAATAGTCAATTACAATTTCATTTGTCATATGAAATAAAGTAGATAATTTACGAAGAAACTGCATCAAGTGGTGTCAAGCGCAATTGAACCATAAATACATTCCAAAGTCAAAATTTCTTGAAATGGGAAAGAGCTTTCTTCGATCAATTCAGCCGACTAATTCATCGCACAAAAACCTCCAGTTTGAAACCATCACTTAAAAGTGCAGAGGTCAAAAAAGTACTCTCCACACGCGAACCTCCGAATTTTGATGTTTCTGCCGAAAAAGCTGGACGCTTTCTTAACCATAATTCTTATTTTAGATAATTATATTCTTACTCACAATCAGTTTCTAAAAGTTATAAATTGTTCCTTTCCCTTTCCTTCTAAGAGAAAAGCGGTTTACTTCCTACTCGTGCGTTCAAGTCTCTGAGTCTTTTTTTCTCAGTCAATCAAAGATTGCCAGTGACAAAGCTAACCTTCAAAGTTTAATTTTCATTTCAGGGAGGATTATGACACTCCCGGTTCCGGGTATCGTAGAGATAGAATCTATGCTAGTCTCAATTCCATCCAAAGGTTTGTCCTAGCCAAAATGCAAGACCGACCTCCTCCTTACGATGAACTAGAACCTCCGAGCAAGCCTCCTCCTTACTCAGTTGCTCTATCAACTCAGGTAAATTTATTTCATGTTTTCCAAATATCCTCTCAAGAAACGCTGAACCAGCTTCGTTTTCACTTCTTGTGTGTGGAAGAAACATGAGGAGGAAACCTCAAGAGATACTGTGCCTATGCCGCTGTAGAATGAATAGCTTTGTGCCCTTCAGCAAAAGTCTCTGACAACGGGCTTTACGTTACTTGCAGGCATGGGTGGAACTAGAGTCCCTTCATACTGAGAGTACAGACAATGCGAATCCACTTCTGATTGGTTCCCGTATTTTAGGCTTTCATAGTGTCACAAACGGAAATAAAGATTACATTTTCACCAATCGCAAAGTTTATAAACTGGAATGGACTGGGAAATTGGGGGTACGACGTGGTAGCACACGGGAATTCTACAACATTTTGCCACTAATCTGAGCAATTTCATGCAACTTTCGCACTTATGCAGAATAGTCAAAGCAAGAGTTTTCTCCTTTCAAAATCTCAGAACTGTTGCAGCTATTTAAAAATTCGTCATAAGCCCGAGGCTGTCATAAAAATTAACAATGTTTGTCACATAAAATGATTTTTCTTTTTTCAATAAAGACCATTTTTAAACTTTAAAGGACTTTAAGAACCTGATCTCATCAGATTTGTACATATTGCATCGCACTCTTGCTTCCGAGAGGCCCTGCCGGGCCTCCCCTAGGTCCCGAGTCCCGAGCTCCGGGGCTGGAGTCCTGGCACCCCCCCCCCATGTGGGGGCCCTGGTCTTATTTGTATCCTAATGGTTGTGAAATTGTGTTTCAGGATTGCTACGGATGCGAAGCCCCACCTCCTTACTCATTCTCCATGTTCGCGCAATCGACCTCAGGAACAGGCGTCTCGAACCCCGGTTTCACCGACATCCCAGGGACCCCCGACCTGAGCCCCTCAATCCTCCCCATCACCTTACCCTCAGCGGCGGGCTCCAGCGCCCCGCCCTACCCCGCGGCCCCCGAAAGACAAGAACAAACAGTCTCAGAGCTACAACGGCCGGTCCTAGCCGACCCCACCGTCCGCCGGATGTCCAACTACAGCACCTTCACTCAACCGGAAACGAACGTCACTTCCGGTTTGAATCTCGAGTTTCCGGCGCCTGAAAGCACGTCGCTGTCCAATCAAACAAAAGATCTTCTGATCCGGAGGGTCAGCACGTCCGAGCGAAACCCGAGTAAAAGAATCAGGAGCGTTTCCAACCCAATTGCTGGTCCCTCGTTTAGAATGAATTCTTGTTCGCCGGAAACGGTGGTGGACTGGCTAGGCAAAGAGATCGAACCTGGTGGTTCCCCGGTGGACCACGCGGTCCAAACGACGGACCTGCCGTTCCATGAGCCGAGCACGCCGGACGACTGGTTGACGTCGACGCTGGGTCAGGTGGTGCAGCAGCCGGGTCCTTCAACTAGGTTAGACAGTTAAATGGTACATACTTGAATTCAAATCTCAATTATCTCAATTACACTATTGTAAGGTTAGGTCGATTTTGTAATACCAACGAGTCGCACCAATCGGTATTCGACGAATAATTACGGTGCAATCCATGCACGAAGTCTTCTATGAATTGGACTACATTTTCCAAGTAGAAACTACAATTCTGGCTCATTTTAGAAACAAAGTTTCCCTACGCAGATCGATGTTTTCATGTATGACAATGAGGTATCAAATAAAGCTTGTCAATGAAGAAGTTTTCGGGAAAAGATTGTATCGCTAGCTATTTACTACACTGAGCGAGTTCGATGAGGCTCAAACTTAGTAGCAGGGCAAAAATTTGAGATAGGGGACATCTCAGGGTGAAAAAAGTCGATGTATTTATTAGTTGATCTGTGTGTCGAGTAGTCCAGGCAAACAAGGAAAAGAGCCTGCAAAAATCCCGGGTAGCAATGTTTTCATCGATTTCTATGTAATTTTTGACGCTGAATCCGAATTTCAACTTTGCGCCATTAAATTCGGACCGGAAAGTTGCCAAATTTGGCAAAAACGGGCTAAAATCGGACTTTTTTCCGGATTATGGCCTGTAACTTGCCAAAAATTGATCTGACGATAAAATTAGTTATTTTCAGAAATAAAGCTCGTTAAATTTCCTATAAAAAAGTTCCTATACACTTTTTTGCTCAAGGCAAAATCAAGCGCGCTGGCGGGCTCCGAACTTTGTAAAATGTGCGAAAATTGCGCATACTGTAATGTGTTCGGTTATCCTTATTATTTACATCAATTCATTTCACTAAGTGTAAATTTTATCATCTTCACTTAATTTGTCCAGAAATTACTCGTCGGACGATTAAAACAGGAGACATCGGGCAAAAACCGCGGAAAACACAATTTTTGCTCATTTTTCAAAGTTCGGAGCCCGCCAGCGCGCTTGATTTTGCCTTGAGCAAAAAAGTGTATAGAAACTTTTTTATAGGAAATTTAACGAGCTTTATTTCTAAAAATAACTAATTTTATCGTCAGATCAATTTCTAGCAAGTTACAGGTCATAATCCGGAAAAAAGTCCGATTTTAGGCAATTTTTGCCAAATTTGGCAACTTTCCGGTCCGAATTTAATGGTGCAAAGTTGAAATTCGGATTCAGCGTCAAAAATTACGTAGGAATCACTGAAAGCATAACTACCCGGGATTTTTGCAAAAACCGCAAAAAAACGCTATTTTCGTTCATTTTTCAAAGTTTGGTGCCCGCCATCGCGCTTAATTTTGCCTTGAGCAAAAAAGTGTATAGGAACTTTTTTATGGGAAATTTAACGAACTTTTTTTTAAAAACAACCAAATTGTCGTTTGATCAATTTTGGACGAGTCACAGGCCATAACCCGCAAAAAACCAAATTTTCGCTCATTTTTCAAAGTTTGGAGCCCGCCATCGCGCTTGATTTTGCCTTGAGCAAAAAAATGTATAGGAACTTTTTTATAGGAAATTTAACGAGCTTTATTTCTGAAAATAACTAATTTTATCGTCAGATCAATTTTTGGCAAGTTACAGGCCATAATCCGGAAAAAAGCCCGATTTTAGCCCGTTTTTGCCAAATTTGGCAACTTTCCGGTCCGAATTTAATGGCGCAAAGTTGAAATTCGGATTCAGCGTCAAATATTACATAGGAATCGATGAAAACATTGCTACCCGGGATTTTTGCAGGCTACAGCCCTTTTCATGGCTTATTCGCCTGGACTAGAGGGCAAATAGTCAAATCAGGCATTCTGTCAAATGCCTAGGCAAACAGCCAAATATTCTTACTCAGATTGACATTTTGATTTTTTACCCTAATTGTAGACAAAATGATTCGTTGCTCCTGTAAGAGAGAATTATCCGTAAAAATATCCTGCATATAATAGTATTTTAAACGATTATAAGATCCTGAATGTACATTTATCATGAAATTTTAAGCACGTCATGGAACATAGAATTTTTACAATTTTAACATTTAAATGTCCCAAAGGCACGTAAGAAAGAGAGAATAAAGAAATTTCGCGGATTTGAAGAGTTATCTCTCCCAAAATATTGAAAACCCGTGAACACCTCGCTATAAATTTACAGAATTCCGTAAACTGTCAAAATTTGACTACCGGCCTGGGCATTTGATAAAATGCCTGATTTGTCTTATTGCTTTCGACATATCGACGGTGTAAGTCGGCAAACACATAACTCGTTTGCGGTGTCTGAAAATCTCCGCCTCTGTGATAGGTATTTTTTAAAGGAGAACAAATTGACATCATTCCTTGAAGTTTTTTCAGAATTTTCCTCGCACAGAGAAGAAAAATCACGTCAATTTTAAAGAATTGCCGTTGAGTAGTTTTCTGTTTAAAAAATGAAGTATGACAGGAAGTCTGCGACGACGCAAACCGAGTTATGTGATTGCCAACTTGCACCGTCTAAATACAGATCAAAGCATCAAAACGCAATTCTATGACCAGCGCAATTGACTTTGTCGCATGAAATGATTCGCAGGAGATGTAGCTCGGAGCAAGGCAGGAGCGAAGAGTCAAAAATTCTGCGTCATCTCGGATCCCTGGCCACTTTCTTCATCTCAAGGAGACGGGGATCGGACCATTCGACTGTTTCGGACAGTTCGGAGCCGGGTTCCATGGCGTTGGCGCACGAATATTATTCCTACGAGAACGAAGATGACGCCTCCTTTCTCGTTTCGCACATTCACCCGTCCGGCCGGGTCTCAACGCCGGAACTCCCGGCCGAGAGCCCCGTCACAGCCCCGAAGTAGCATTTTTCGACGGGAAAATCGCGAAATTTTGAAATTAAGTTGCGACCCATTTACGATTTTTTGGCGATAAAACCGTTAGGGTCGTCGACATCTGAGCGGATTCGAAGAGATTTCGAACTCCAGCGGGCTGATTGTTGAAATTGATAGACAGAGCGATAGACAAAAGAAGACATAGGAACTACGGAGCGCCTATTGGTCGACTTTGGTGGTTCGTATAGACTACGAGAGCAAATTATGGACTCAAATGATAGGGTCTCTCGTGGGTTGCCGTTAGTTAGTCTATTATCTACCTCCTCTGTCCATAGCAACCACCCGCTTCTACCAGTAGAATCCCTCAATATCCCTTTTGTCTTCTTTGACTATAGCTTTGTCAATAAATTTCAGTAATCAGCCCGCAGGGCTATCTAAAGCGCCGCGCCGGATGCGAGAATGACCGGAGCGCCTTCGATTTTTCGGTTATGCAATAATGACATCTATTAGGCACGAATAGTTGCATCCAGGCGTTTCCACGAAAGACCAGGCCGTATCTGAGTTACCTATTGTAACTGCAGCTGACTTGTTTCAATTTCTTTTAATATGAAATGCAATTATCTATATGTTTTAATCCTGGGTACAACGCTGTATTACGCGGTACGACCCGCCATGAATGTAGGCTGTGCTATTGAAAGAAAAAATAAGAGTCATAACATTCGTTTTCTCTTGATAAAAGACATTAAAGAAAACTTAATGATAATGTTAATGCACTTACGTTGGCGTGCGCTCATATTGTAACTTGCATACCTAGAATTAAAGTTTACTGTTGTTGATGATAGGACGTATTTTTGCGAAAAAGGCCTGCTGTTGCAAACGAGAATAGAGAGGTCGTAATAACTACGATTCTGTGACGTCACGCTAGTAGGTGAAACTCGACCGCGATTAACTATAATCATAATCAACAGAGCTTTTAAATTAATTAAGCTTTAATTATGAGAAAAGTTTGATGTACGAAAGGAAAATCACTGCCTGAGCGGTTCATGATGAAGTCTCGTGTGGGGACGAGCACGCTTGAAAAACGTGAGATTTGACATGCGAGTCGATTCGATCGGTTTAAGGCAGCTTATTATGGAGATTAATTTCGATCAACTGGTGTATTACACGTATGTGCCAATTAAGTGCTGCTTCTGATGTATTGCTTGCGAATAGTAATAAGGGAAAAATGTTTGTCTCTACTGGAAAAATAAACCTAAAATGAGGAGCTTGGAAGACAATGCGCATAAGTGCAGTTTTTGAATAAATTGAGATATTAATGATTTTAAGTAAAAATAATCTGAAGGCATATTCTGTGAAAAATTCGCCCCCAAATTCCAATTTTTAAGCATCAAAAAGTCAGTTTGAACATTCTTCCCGCCTGAAGGATTCATGTAATTCCGAAACTTCAAACACGTATTTCTCGAAATAGCAAAAACTGTACTGATGCGCCTTGTCCTCCAAGCATCTCAAATAAGTTTGTAAATGGACCGGGCATTGTAACTAATTAGCGATGATTTACATGGTTAATTCATGCTTTTCAACTCTTTTTTGGTGTATTTCAAGTTAACATCGATCTAAGTGGAATGTTAAAAATTCGCCAAGACTGAGGAAAGGAAATGAAAAATTAAATATGTATATAAGTATATGCAAAAAAAAAAATAATAACAAAATAATGTAATTCTAGAAAAAGCAAAATGCGTTTGATCCATGGCATTACTCTATGCTGCCTTGCACGGTCGGATATTTAAAACAAAAAAAAAATAGCACGCATAAATAAAATTGAAAACTGAAAGATCATTGTTTATTCATAACTGGATCCGCAGTTAATGTTGATGACAGAACTGTCTCGGGTCACTAAGCTTAATTTTATTTTCCCCAAGTCGTACGCAAGTACATGATTTGTTGAGAACCATAAATTACCATTCGCAACGCAAGAAATTTCAATGTTACGAACTTCTAGTTTTTAAAAATTCTGTGATAATGTACGTTGTACTAAATTTAAGTTTTACCTATAGTGTTAAGTGATAATTTTAATATTTTTTTTTTGTTTTTTTTTACGTGTGAAGAATCAATTTCGTTCGATTAAAAACACTAGAATCAGCAAGGTCTCTCTGTGTTCATGAGTGAAAATTATTTTGAAGCACCTGTACCTCAAAATATATTTTATACATTAAAAATATTTGTATAATATTATCATGAAGAACAGGATAAATTGGACGTATGTCTATCAAATGGAACTATGTGCATTAAGACGTGAGCCCTGTTATATGCACATTATTCTTATGGGTCTCAGGGCTCATGTCTTAATGCACATAGTTCCGTTTGATAGAAATACGTCCAATTAATACAATAATTAATTTTCTAAGTGCAATATGCGTGTCCAGTCTACAGTTCAGGGATACATATACTTACAACACATAGATTTATGAAGTACACAGTCTTTTTAGTCCTCTTTTCAAACTATTTTACGACATTGAAAATTAAAGTTGTAATTACATGTTAGTTTTGTTTCGAAACATTCCTTCTTTTTTTATTACGTGGTACGCTCCTACGCTCCAGAACCGGGGGTAATGAACTAAAAATATTTTTTTTTCGTTTTTATAGTTCGTAAAAACTCAAATCAGATAATCTCATCTAAGCTATCATTCAGCATCATTTAAACGAAAAAAAGGTAAAATTCCACTATTTTAAATCATCCTTTTAAATGCTTTCTTGAAAATTCTCATGATCTAAATAAATTCACGTGAGACGTGTAAAGATACGGAGCCCGAAATTCGCATGTGCGCTTGCAGTTAAAATACGACATTAATCTAAATCTATTTGAGCCCTCGGTTGTTAGTGGCTGATAAGATTACTTATCTTAAGTGCGCAGGATTGAGAATCAATAAGTATACATAAACGGCACGAGTTAAGTTAATGCGAGTTTTACTTTCGGATGTAATGCCCCATATATTACCAGGCTCGCCACATCCCATCTCGGGCCCTGGTACCAGTTAGGTCCGGGCCACAAGCACGGGGGGGGGAGGGGGGGTCCGAGAGGCATCCCCCAGGAAATTTTAAAATTTATACGACTAATTTGACGCATTTTGAAGCTTGCATAAAGAATTTTTCCATCAATTTCTGCGGAATAATTATGTTTTTTTTTTTTTTTTTTTTTTTTTTTTTTTTTTTTTTTTTTTTTTTTTTTTTTTTTTTTTTTTTTTTTTTTTTT